CACCTAATATAAAGTGTACTCACCAAGTGAAATGAAAAGACAGAAGCGAGGATGTTCGAAGATATATTTGATATACTATCAATATATCTAAAATCGTCTGATCTAATCTGACTAGCGATTGCAGTAGATGTTGAGCAAGGCGTTCCCACTCGTGATTTGGTGCGGATGCATGAACGAGTGCCTTCGGCTGGGTGGTTCATTAAAACATGTGGTTAACATCCAATGTCGAAGACTTACAGAGCTATGTATTTTGGGGATTTATTTGTGTAAGTGCATGTCGAAATAAACTCGTAAGGGTTTTAAAACACAACATGGGCGAAAAAGTGTAAATAACGTTGAAGTGAATTTCTACAATTGTTTTTTTTGTATGTTTGTTTATTAAAAAAATTTAATATACATATTAGCCAGATAATAAATATATATAAATACAAGCATATAAAAAAATTTATATTATATATAGTGTCATGGAAAATCGAGATGAAGCAAACTCTTAACTGGTGTTTTACGTGCAACAGTCGTTTAAATGTTCTGGAAATCTTACTCTTCTTCCAGAACGCGCTGTTTTAAGTTTATTTTCAGATACTGTCGAAGTATCATCATGCATGTTGGCTGTCAGATGAGGTATTATACGTGTAGGAGCCGTGTCGTCCGATTGTACTGAAGGAAAGTCGACGTAGATAGGAGTTCCTTCTAAACACGCTGCTTTGAGGCGATCGATGCTGTTGTTGGTTCCGCTCTTATCGATTACATAGTACTTAGGTTCGCGTTGAAGAACTTTGAAGGATCCTTCGTATGCTGATTCGATAGGTCGTCGATGTGAGTCTCGATGAACGAAAACGTGTGTACTATGTCGTAAGTCGGGTTGAACGAAAATATCAGTTGATTGCGGTCGAGTGGAAACAGCTTTAACTCAACGCATTGCGTCTGTAAGCCTGTTCATGTAGGAGGTTAGATCCATGTTCATTGAAGAGGATGAAGGATCCACGAATTCTCCTGGAAGTCCAAGTGTCGTTCCACAAACGAGTTGAGCCGCAGTGTATCCAATGTCAGCTTTGACTGTATTGCGAATACCTGGCAAGACGAGTGGAAGAGCGTCGGTCCACTGTGAAACGTTCGCAGCTGATAGTGAAGCTCCTAGTTGTCGGTGAAAACGTTCTACCCACTCGTTTACTTGTGGGTGGCAGTTGGTCGTTCGTAAACGTTTGATTCCTAAAAGTGTGGTCAGACGACGGAAAAGTATGGATTCGAACTGACGTCCCCGGTCTGTAGCGATAACCTTAGATTTTTGGCAGCTTACACAGGAGCGTGCCTACTTCCTCACGTCTTTATTCATGCCAGGCCAGAAAAACCGTTCTGCTATAAGTTTGATGGTTGCACGAACACCTGGATGGAAAAGTTTATGCAACGTATTGAAGACGTTGAGTCGATAATGTTTCGGCATGATTGGGCGATCCCTACCTGTAGATGTGTCACACAGTAAGGTTTCCTTACCTGTTCAATCTGTTTGATGCGTAGCTTGGTTGTTGTAGACGATAACTCTTGCTGAAGATCAGTGTCTTCTTTTTGAAGTTGGGCGAGTTTAAAAAGTCGAATCGTTGGAAACTGTTGAAGGACGTCATTCGAGACAAGGCGTCTTTGACTACATTGTTTGCTCCAGAAATGTGTTGAATATCTAAAGTAAACTGAGAAATGTAGTCCAATTGTCGAGACTCACAAGTTGAGTACCTGGCTGAAGAAGAGTTTAAAGAGAAGGTAAGCGGTTTTTAGTCAGTGGAAGGGATGAATTCACGGCCTTCGATACAGTGTTGAAAATGCCGTACAGCACAATACATAGCTAGGAGGTCCGAGCCGAATGTGCTGTACCTCGATTCGGTGTCTAGCAACCATCTCAAGAAAAATGATAAAGGTTGACAGGAGTGGTTAATACATTGTTGTAAGACTCCTCCGATTGCTGAGTCGGATGCATCTACTGCGATACTAATGGGTGCTTCAGTGTCCTAACGAGCAAGCATTGTTGCCTGAGCGATAAGTTCCTTAACCGTGGAGAATGCTTTTCGCGCGATGTCGTCCAAATTGATGGATTTCGCATTTCCACGAAGTTGGTCTGTAAGAGGTTTCATAAGTAACGCGCATTTCGGTATGAATTATCTATAGAAACTTACCAGGCCGTTAAACGTGCGTAATTGCTTGATGATGGTCGGTTCTGGGTAATCCAGAATGGTCGCTACTTTGGTTCTAAGGGTCGAATGCCTTGCGCATCTATAGTGTGTCCTAGGAAGTCTAGTGAGTCAGTTCCGATTTGGCATTTCTGAATGCTTACAGTAATGCCATGTTTTCGTAGTCGTTCGAAAACAAGATCCGGTTGCTGGAGACACGATTCTCTGTCCGGAATTGCTATTAGACAGCCGTCAATATACGCATGTACGAAGTTGAGACCTCGAAAAACGTCGTCTACGAACCTTTGAAGTGTTTGGGCAGCGTTTTTTAGACCGAAGGACATTTGCAAAAATTTGTGGAGTTCAAAGGGAGTTATGGAAGCTGTTTTCGGTATATCATCTGTAGCCATAGGGATTTGGTTATACGCTTTAACCAAGTCGATTTTCGAAAAGACAGTTGTACCATTCAAGGTAGCTGTCAAATCGTGAATGTGAGGCAACGAGTAACGATCGGGAATGGTTTCCGCATTCAGTCGCCGATAGTCACCAGTTGGACGCCAATCGTTGCTGTCATTTTTAGGGACTATGTGCAACGGAGATGCCCATGGGCTGTTTGACGGTCTTATGATACCTAAGTCTATCATGTGATCGGATTCGTTTTTGGTTTTCGGGAGCCAGTCGGTCTACTTTCGAGAATACAGTTGGCCCTATAGTCGTGACGTAATGTGTAACGTTGCTGGTTACACACGGCAATTTCGGTTGCGATTGCTGTATCCTAGGATACTTATCGAGTAGTGGTTGATAAAATGGGTCTATTATGTGCTTAATTATGACTGGAGATAATCTGCAACCAGAAAATAAGTTACGCAAACAGATAAATTAGTGTTTCCGTCTACTAGTCTCCGTTTGCACGTATCGATGATTAGATTATGGTATTGTAGAAGGTCCATACCAATGATTGGCATAGAAACATCTGCAACAACGAAGATCCAGTGAATGGGTTTGTGTGAACCCACGCTCAGATAAACGTAACTTTTACCGTATGTGGCGATAGGCTTTTCGTTTGCCACATGTAGATTTAAAACTGGTTCGTGAAGTCGGTCGTTAGAATTCACTGGAAGAACGTCAACTTCTGCGAGGTAGCGTCATCATATCTGTGACGTATAACAGACGGCTATGTTCGCCAGCTACGGTCACCGTTAACGCGTGCCGGCTTGGAAGTTTCCCGAGTTGTTTTTCGATTTGGTCGGTTTGGAGCTGAAAAAATTGCAGGGTTTTCTGCAATTTCTGGAAGACTTTCCATACTTGTTATGATACCAGAACCAGTCGGGGTTATCCGTCTCTCTTGGTGTAAAGACAGATCACCTACGGGAAGTGCTTATACGTGGGGCGTGTGATTTGTTATGTCATTCTAGGTCTTTTGAGACCTTTCTTTGACTGAATAAACCTGGGTATTAGAAGATTTCGTAATTTCGAAAATGCGGTCAGCAGATGCAGCTAGCTCGTTTAAGGCACAGCTTGCACCTGTTGAGGAAGTTTGGGTAAGAAAAGTTGTTTGAATAGGCCATCATCGAAAGTTCTTTGGCCGATTACCTCTGTCATTCGTTGCAATATGTCCGTCGCGGAACCGTGTTGCACGATGATTTTATTGAAGAGTTGGTCAAACCTTTGTCTATTGGTTAGGTTTCCGCGTTTATGAATAGAATGTTTCAGCGTTTCGTAAGGTCCAGAAACATCACTAGTAAACATACTAGGTGTTACGTACCTGTTGAATTTACGCGGTAGTGTCTTGACTACTGCGAGGAATTTTGCACGTGTGTCGATCACGCCATGCTCGGAGAAGTCGGCTTCTGTGTAGCAAAACCAGGCTTCGATGTTGTCTGGCCAGAAGGGCATCAGTTGAAAGGAAGGTGGGGACAAAGTCTTAAGCTTAAGATCTTTGGGTTTCTGTTCAGTCATGATGAGGTACGAGAATGAACGAGGGATATATATATATATATATATATATATATATCCAAAAACACGAAAAAAATATATCACAGTGTAAAAAATTAAGGCAATGATATAAATAGAGTCCCAGAAAGGATCAGACTCACAGTTTACGATTTGGTGTACCAGATCACGTTCGGCTCACCAATGAAGATGCCACAGGTATTCGGAGTTTGACAACGCTTTAACCAGTAACACCTAATAAAACTCGTACACACCAGGAGAAATCAAAAGACAGAAGCGAGGAGATCGGAAAATATATTTGATGTGGTATCAATATATCGAGAATCGTCTGATCTAATCTTGGTAGCGATTTCAGCAGATGTTGAGCACGGCGTTCCCACTTGTGATCTGGTGCGGATGCATGAATGAGCGCCTTCAGCTAGGTGGTCCATTAAAACATTTATTTACCTCCACAATACTATTTTTTCTCTTTTTCTCTTCAAGTATACCCAGGTTCTTACCTGAAGATATCGATTATCTGTCGCTACTAGACTGGAAGCCAGTTGAGTTAAAGCTGTTTCTATACCATTTGAACCATATTACATAATACTAACCTTGAGATCGTAGAGTTCTTGGGGCGGGTCGTGTGGTTGTTAAACATGCATTTTGTTATGTAACATTATCAAGTCTTTAGTATCTAGCTTCCACTGCCAGGTAACTTTGTAAAAACCCTTAGTTATTGTTGTTCCCCATTATTCACATAAATTTACAGATGTAAGTGAGCACTATGTGGGTAGTGAAAACAAACCAACCTATCAAAAGCTTTCTTTTCTCAATTTCAGGTTCACTCACACTTCTACCCTCGAGCTAAGCATAAACTTATTATCAACTAAATAACTACTTAGTGAGTTCATGGAATTAGTTGTGTACGAGGTCCACCCTCACATTGCATTATTGCGTGAGTTATGCGGTGAGACCCATGAAGAATCACTGTCTGATGACTCAGACAATGAAAGCTACTTAAAAAGTCTTGATCCAAAAAACTGGAAAAGTCAGGATCATTATTCTGTTTTGGGGCTCAGAAAAAAACGCTATCTTGCTTCTTCTGACGATATCAGGAAAGCATGTATGTTGTCTTCTGATTGTTAACTGTATTAGATCGCAGAAAAATTTTGAGTCATCACCCTGACAAACGTCGTTCAAAGGGGGAGTTTATTCAAGATGAAAAACTGGATTACTTTTCATGCATAACTATAGGTAAGTTAAAGCAATCCCTTCATTTGTTTTATTTTTTATTAGTAAAATCCAGACTAGTTATAAAGTGAGGTTAGTGTCTTTGTTCAACCCCCCATACATTTTCTAAAGGTGCCATAATATGTTCAATAATGTAATGAAAAAGAGTAACGCGATCCAAGCGTCTTAAATTAGTATCTTTAATGATTTGTCAGTATTAACAACTTCAGACAAACCATCCGTGTATCCGTTTACTACTTAACATCTTTAAGTTCATAAGTGTGACTGGCATCCTGAAATAGTTCTTGCCGAGAGAAAAGACTCAGCTAGGTGATTGCGGCAGTCACATAGCTATAGATGCACTCGGATCTTGTTAAGCGGACATGTCTTGGTTGCGGGGCCTTTGTAAAAAACTTCAAGTACCAACACAGTTGGAACAAATGACATCAAGCTGTGTATGTACATCTTTCAGAGCGACCTTCCAAAGATTGTTCAGAAACTTCCACGAATATTTTGTAGGACAGTATTAGCCTCGTTTTTACACAAAGTATTTTTAGCTAGTTTGTTTACCTTTTGTGACCATTTTGTTTCATTCAGAATATTAAAATATGATTACTTATAAATAGCATACGAAATACTTGGAAATCCCGTCAAACGTCTTGCGTATGATAGTGTGGATCCAGTCGTCGTAGATGATTCAGTTCCTACCATCAGTGAAATCAAGTCCAACTTCTTCACTTCATTGGGAAACTTTTTTAATCGTAAATCTAGGTAACTGTCGTTTCCAAATAGTCATTTTTCATGAAGGTGGTCTAAAAAGCAACCTACTCCTCACCTTGGTAACAGTCTAACTGATATAGATGAAGTCCTCAAGTTTTATGACTTCTGGTAAGTTAATAACGAAGCAAACATTTAATATGACTTTTATTTCTATCTATATACTGTATAATCAGTAGCTTGCTCATTGTTTTCCTCAGACAAGCATTTACCCTGAGCTAAGAAGGTACAACTAACGTTTACGAATCTTCGGAATTTTTCAATACTTGTCCCCTCATGTGGCTATATTTCACATAGTCTTGGTTTCCAGTCCGTGTCTGGTTTAAATTTTAGTTATATATAGTGTAATGCTCTCCACAACTTATTTTAAAATGCACAATCATGTTCCTCATAATCACGTGCATAAACTTTTCAACCTAGCCATACACCGACTAATAGAATTTAACACATGTTGCAATTTATAAAGACATAAATATATACTCAAATCTAACTTGGAGCGTTTTTTCATGACAAAATTATTGATTGTGTTGTTGACGTGAGTTAATTTAGTGTATAATCAGTCTTTTTGTCTATGACAATCCCAGTCGAAAGAATATTGAAACAACTACTTGCTTTTAACCACTAAGTATCTTATGACTACAAAATATCCAGAAATCTAGAACCCTTAGTCTTTGCTTTGTTCATTCTTATGTTCGCATCTGAATACTCATTAACAGTTTTAGCGTTTTCTATGTGCAAATGCTTGCTTACTAAGAGCAGGAAAGGGTATCAACTAGGGCTCATCATATTCACAAAAATGTCCAATATCGTATTAAGGCACCATAACCGCGAATTAGCTGGGCTAATACGTAGGAGCACTAGTTCTAATATGTGCCAACGATTGTTTTGAACTAAATTACTAGTCGGTTTCCCTGTTTATCTTACTATTATTTATGATCGTAATAATGAATAAATATATTGGCCACCATTAAACCTTGTCACATCAACACTCAGATAAAAATATGGACCAGTTCACAATAAATCAAGCAATTAAAAAAGCCATAATAAGGAAAACCAGTTATAGAAGACCAATATGTACAGAATAATATTATAATTAGTCATTTTTAGACACTTATGTGAATATAGCATCAATGGTATTTGTTGGAAAAGCATTTGAGGATTCCCAGCAGTACCAAATGCTAGTTGTCTCGAGGTATCCTCTGCACTAGTATCGCAAAGTCGCTTGTAACGCTACTATATATTTCTTGAGAGAAAAATATCTTGTTGCTTTAATTTTTTACAGGGAAGAATATGATACCTGTCGTGATTACTCATATCTAGATGAAGAAGATAAGGAAAAAGGTGAAGAGTACGTTTCTCAATGTTACCCTTCTTCTACTAACTTATCCAAAATTATTGTTTGTTCAGTACTCGTTAACGTTCACTATTGTTATCAACATTTGATTTTCAGTCAGTCAGTCAGTCAGCTATAACGTAGGACCAGGCACATATATGCATCGGTCCAAGTTGCCATACCTCATTAACACAACAAGATGGACACCAGATTCATAAAAGTAGTTAATTCAGAGGTGGTAATATATAAAGGAAAGATTGCAATAAGGATATAGTACAGGAAGAAAGAATTAGTTCGTAGAAAGAAAGATATAAAGCGATTTTAATCCCTTAGTTTAAGGGAAGACAGAGTGTATACACCGACGCCATTGTGATCGGTTCTGAGCCATGTCACCAAGAGTCTCCAACCATTGGTTACGATAGTCACACGGACCCCAACCAAGTAGTCTGCATCTACCAACATGGATCAGATTAGAAGTTAGTGACTTCAAGCACTGATGCCGCGTTTTGGTTTGGCCGCCCCTAACTTTCTTCCAACCATCTCCAACACCGGTTAGCATTGCACTTCGTGGTAATCGGTGTTCAGGCATGCGTAATATGTGGCCCAACCATCTCAGTCGATGAAGATTCACAACCTCATCAACTGATTTACCATCATTCCCTAATGCCCTGCGTCTAACCTCACTATTACTTACCCGGTGATCCCAGTAGACGCCAACAATATTTCTAAAGCATCTGTGGTTAAATACTAGTAGCTTACGACTATCTTCTACTCTTAATGACCATGTTTCGCTGTCGTGATTTAAAACAGAACGAACTGCCGAGCAGTATACTCGTCGTTTTTTTGATAGACGGATATCTCGCCTTCTCCATAGGTGAAGTAAGTTGGCAAAAGCCAAACGATTACTATGTCTGAACGTTTAGCTTTCTGAAGAAGTTCAGATAGCTTTCTGTAAAATTCATCTTTCACTTCATCTGAGCTGCAGTCGGTGGGAGCGTAGGCAGAAACGACAAAAAGACAACGACGTGTGTCCCTATCCTCCCCAGTTCTTACGGAGCCGTTTAGCCGAACAGCACATAAACGACTGTTAACGGCGATCCACTCTAACAGTGCTTACTGCTAGCCCTACTCCTGACAGTCCACGAGAGCTGGCCGTCGGGTCACCAGATACACGGAGGGTGAATCTCGTTGGCTCTCCGTTTTGCCGAGGTGAGGTCAAGTGAATGACCACACTGAGATCCTGTATTTGTGTTTCAGAGACACAGCATACATCAATGGTACGATATTCTATGGTTCTAGCCAAGGAGGCCTGTTGACCGATTTGACATAGGGTGCGTACGTTGAAGGCTCCAATGTGTAGTTTGGAGCGAGGTTTCAGTAGACCTGGGACAGTGTTTTGAGCACTAGAATCGTTGGCTATGGTAACATTTGAGGAGGAAGTCGAAAAGGGAAGTTTAGAAGTGAAAGTCGATGTAGGAGGAATAATAGAAAGTGAAGACGGAGGTTGATTATGAATACAGTGGTCTTGAGTGCTGTTAGAGGTATGAGGGCGATTATCACTTTCCGGTTGCCCACACCGTGGAAGGGTTGTTCTGGAGGTACCTGAAAAGGAAATTGGATTAGAGGTGGTCTTAGTGACCTGGGAGCGTGACCGCAGTACCCAAGGGACAACTGCTTGAGGTCGGTCACACACGATCTTTTTATGGGTAATTTTTGTGTTAGCTCCGTACTTGTTGAGACCTTACCGCCGGAGACGGATATCCGTGGGATAAGGTGAGGTGTGCATTTTTAGGGTCGACCTTCTCTAACCCCACCTCTCCTTGTGGGAAGGCAGCATCGCTGTCATGCTGGTTGTCTGAAGGAAACATCTTACTGCAGTCAGTCAGTCAGTATCAACGTAGAACTTCGTACGTACGTACATCAGTTCGAGTTGCCACACCACATTAGCACAGAGATGCAGTTGTCCATTCAAATCCCATAGTGGTAGAGGTAGCAAGAGTATAAGCAGTAATCGGGAAGATTAGGGTTTGGAGATGTTATTTATAGAGTATAATCCAGTGAAATAAATTTGGAAAGAGGAAAAAAGGGACATGAAGAATTCAGAAGATTAGAATTTGAGAGAACACAGAGAGTGGATGCACCTGCGCCATTGCAAACGATTTTGAGCCATGTCATTCAGGGTCTCTAACCATCGGTTGCTATCATCTCGCGGTCCCCAACCAGGTAGTCTACACCTACCAACATGACTCAGTTCACTTGTCAGTGACTTCATGGACTTGTGCCATGTTTTGGTTTGGCCGCCCCTAGCTTTCTTCCAACCTACTCCTATACCACTGAACATAGCACGTCGAGGCAGTCGGTCGTTGGGCATACGTAACACGTGTCCCAGCCATCTCAACTGATGAAGTTTCACTACGTCATCAATTGATTTGCCATCCTTACCTAGTACACGTTTTCTAACAACTGTGTTACTTAATCGATGGTCCCATGATATACGAGCAATGTTTCGAAGACACCTATGATCAAATACTAGTAGCCTACGGATATCCTCTACTCTTACCGGCCATGTTTCACTGCCATAAAGTAGGACGGAACGAACTGCTGCACAGTAAACACGTCCTTTGGTTGATAGACGGATATCTCGCCTACGCCATAAATGACGCAAGTTGGCAAAAGCTAGTCGAGCCTTCTGTATCCGTGCTGAGATTTCGTCACACACCAGACCACAAGGGCTGATCAGACTTCCAAGATAAGTGAAGCGGTCGACACACTCAACTACTTCACTCCCTATCACTAGTTCGGGTGTCGATGTAACCCAATCCTGAAGCAACATTTTGCATTTCGAGGGAGAGAATCTCATCCCGAACATGCTTGCATTGTTGCTTAGAGTGGTCAGAAGACTCTGCATTTTGTCAGCGTCTTCACCAAATAAAACTATGTCATCAGCATATTCTAAGTCAACAAGTGAACCTCCCGGTAGAAGTTCAACCCCTGGAAATCTAGATGAGGAAAGTGTTATCTCCAGAAGTATGTCCACGACAAAGTTGAACAAGAATGGGGAGAGTGGACAGCCCTGACGAACACCACTTGAGGTAATCAATTCTGATGACAGTTCGCCATAAGCTCTCACTCTACCAGTTGTGTTCGAGTAGAGAGCCTTTATAAGGTTAATGTACTTCTTTGGTACTCCTTTCAGTGACAAACATTGCCATAGAACCTCACGATCAACAGAGTCGAATGCCGCCTTAAGGTCGAGAAATACTACCATTGTGGGGCGTCTGAATGTGTGTCTGTGTTCTAGAACCTGACGTAGTGTGAATATCTGATCTATACAACCACGTCCAGGTCGAAAACCAGCCTGATTTTCTCTAGTCTGCTCTTCACGAGCTTTGATTAGGCGTCGAAGTATTATTGAAGCTAATATTTTAGACACTATATTAGTCAAACTGATTCCTCTGTGATTGTCACAAGAGGACTTTTGTCCTTTCTTATAGACTGGCACAATCAGTGATTGAGACCAGTCAGATGGGATTACGTCCAGTTCCCAAATTCTACTTAAGACCTCGGTTAATCTCATTGCTAATACTGGACCACCATCCTTAAAAATCTCAGGAGTAAACCTGTCAGGGCCTGCTGCTTTCCCTCGTTTCAGATTTCCTATGGCTTTTTCAACTTCGTAAAAAGTCGGAGGACCTACATTAACTTGCCATTCAGGTTGACTAGAGATCGTGGGAAACCGAAGTGTGGCTGAAGGCCAGTTGAACTGATCCCTAAAGTGTTCTGCCCATCGATCCAATCTCCTGGATTGAGAATGAATAATATGTCCATCTTTCTCTGAGATTGTTTCGCTAACGGTCGGGTTCCTAATTCCGGTTTCCTTAACGAGTCTGAACAATTGTCTGCTATTACCTATTGCCGCTGCCTTTTCCATCTGTCTTGCTTTCGCTACCCACCACTGTTCGCGATCGTTGCGTAGGCTTCTGGTCAGCTTGCGCTTAAGCTGACTCCGCTCTTCATTATGTTCAGAGCCAGGTGGAATGAGTTTCCGAGCATCTATCAGTGCGATAGATGCTGCTGAGATCCAGTGTTGCTCCCTAACCTTCTGGTTTACCTTACTAGCAGATATCACTGCTGTTTCCACAGCTTTTCGGATATCATTCCATGCTGCATCGGGGTGGGCATCACATACATGGCTGCCTAACTGTTTTCCTAGTTGTTCCTGAAATATACTCTTAGCTTGACTATCATTAAGTAGGCCCCTAAGAGGTTTTCTTGCAGTGTCTTTCCTACGTCCAGTTAGACGCAAGCAAATACGCGCTCGCATCTTACTGCTGTCACACCTCTGTACAGTCAGCAGTACGACTTCGCCTTCGGACCTTGGGTTTGTTGCTTTTAGTCTTACCGCTCTTCAACCGACCTGTCTGACATGGTAGGACCTTGAGGAACGGTTGTTCCAGCCAGTATAGCTCGGTTGCTTCATCACGATGGGTAAGCCCGACCACCACGTCAAGGTAGCAACAACGGTCGGGAAAGATTTGATTTTATTGACCACTGAATGCAGATATTTTTAGGTCGAAACATGTTTGCTCATACATCATGTCAGAAAAAGGTATTGTCTTCTCTAATTATACTTTTTATCTCTGACTAGTTATATTCCTTATCTATTTGGATTTTCAACCAGTCGTCAATATTATATTTTTCTGATGCAAAATACATACATATCAATATTTTGTCTTTATACAAATGCACGTTTTTCAGATAAATACTACACTTATTAATCATATTGCACAGTTTTTACATGGAACTTAATATGACTTAAATTTTCACGAAAATTGGAATGGAACAAGCCTGTATTTGATCCACTAAATAAAATGTGTCTTTGCTCAGTTTGCCAAGGAATTATGTGTGATATAATACTTGATTGTTCTTGTATCAACCAGAAGCTCCTTTACTATATACCAGGAAATACTAAAAATTAATTTCATTTCATTCCAGCATTTCACATCAATGCACTTCTATGACCTATTTTGCTGTTGAATATTTCGCATCTGACCTTGTAAGCTTCACTCAAATTGTTTAATAGTAACGTAACTCAACTCATGATGTACTGAATCGTAAATGTTGTAATGGTATTGAACCATCGGATGAATTCTACCAGGCTATTCACTAAAAAAGTTTCGAAATTTATTTAAGATAATCTTGGAAACTAGATCTTCTGTTTTCACATAGTGTATACGTAACATTGTATCCAACCAATTGTAATTTTACTTCATATTATGGTCAAGATTTCGACAAAAATATCTCATTAAAAAATGTTCAGAACTGCCGACGTTTTGACCAAACTGTGCACTATCGTAAAAGTGAAGTGCTTTAATGGTTAAAGCATCCAATCAGTTGGTCGCAGGTTCAAACTTTGCTTTATTTTAGTTTTGGTTAGCTGAGTACTATTCCTAGCCCTTGCGTAAACAGTATGGCACAAAGTCGACTACACATACTTTTACTTAATAAACAAGGTTATATAAATAGCATTCATGAGAACAACTTTGTCTGTATTTAAATTGTAATACTTGGTTTTGTAAATTGTGCGTATAACTCTAGAAACAACTGAGGATTTTGGCGTTTATTAGCAAGGTTTCTTTTTACGGGATGGGGTTGACATCCCCGTGCCCAAACTTCGTCCTTTATCCGTGCTTGGTGCTGGAAAGAACCCTAGAAAGGTCCTAGATGGAGTTAGAAATAACCAAACTAAACATATTTACCACGGAACCAACCATAGTTACGAAACTGAACACTTTATTTACCATGTTAGAGACTCAGATTTCGTGTAATAGCTTCTGCAAACTCGTTACTCAGGCTTATTCCTTTTATTTGTAAACAATATTTGCCTCGATTTGTTTAAAATTTTCTCGACAAATTAATCAGCTCTACTTATCAATATGTCTGTACCTTGTGGAAAGTTTTATTGGTAAGTGTATTTAAAGAATAAAACCTTTAAGTTTGAGGTGTTTTAAAATTTCGTAAAATTATCCATTGTTTTATTTATTTATTTATTTTAACACATAGATATTGGTACAAGGAGGCACCAAATACATATGCGCCACACAAATCTCGTTTGATATGTGTGAGGGCTGTGATACTGCTAGGGTGCCCAAATCGAAGCAGGTGGTTTTCTTAGGGGGCCACACCCCGACCCTTTGACCTAAAGGTCTGACCCACAAGGCAGTGAAGCATCGTGAGAAGATGCAGTCCCATAGTAGCCGGTGATCAATAATTGGTCCATACGCCATTTGTTCCTTCAGTATCCTGGAGCCTATATGCACCATTGGTTTGGAATCAGGGTTCTCCAACTCCCCTTGTTGGATCCTGTATATCCACCAACCCGGTAAAGCGCCGGACATTCGCTTTTTGTCCTCTCAATTTCGTAAACAACACCCCAGCCACGAGGAGGCGATGAGTAGGACTTCCTTGATAAAGGCTATATACGCGTGGTCATGTGAGAGCATTTGGAGAGGGAGAGCGAACTCTCCCCACTGTCGGCCGTATCAAGGCATTTGGGGGCTCAAATTATCCATTGAATCATAGTCAAAATAGTTTTTAGCATGTAGTTTTTATAAAATAAACGTTTACAATCATTTTTTTAATATTCTGTATTTCATAGGTTTTCAAAGAAACCTATATTCCTGAATTTATAGTTTCTTCCTAATGTTAAGATTTATGTAGGTTGACTGCAAATATTTATACTTCTATTATGTGCAAACCAATACCATGTAACAGTGATTCGCGAAACACCTAAGTTTTCTTAGTGTGTGTAAATTTGATTAAATCGTAATTGCTCATAATTTATATTTGTTTCAGTCGAGAAACAAGACGTGCAATAGAGAGACAAAATCGTATTGAACGAGCACGTCGAAGGAATGAAGAAGTAAGCAATGTTCGGAACATAGTCCTTCTTGCTAAAGAAAATGATCCAAGAATTCTAGCTGCAAACAAGGCTGCTCGTGATGCTAAGGAAGCAAAACGTCAGGCTCGTTTAGTTGCTGTACAAAAACGACGTGAAATGGAGGAAGAGGTAAGATACTCAATTATTTTTAGACAAGAATCAGCATACTATCTCATATTTCTTACATGAAATAAGCATACACAATACATATTTTAGTCTGCTATAAGCTATATTGTGCGGCTAGCAGATTTGCTAAAAAAAATCCATGATGTAAATGTATCCATTAGTAAGCCCATTATTTTGATGAAAAATTTGTCAGTAGCCATTAAAAACACGCAGTTATTGCTTTATAAAAATGATTCTTTCAAAGTCCATGATATACAGGTGATTTCTGATGGCAACTGTAACTACTACTTCACATTTTCAATATGATAATCTTACTCATTTACCCTCATATTTATATGGATTTGACCAACAAAATGTTGAATGTAAACTAGGTTATCCTTTAAAAATTTCAAGTTTCAGTTCCTTTTATTTGAAAAGTTTTATCAGGATAGAAATTAGAAAAATGTACCAAAGAAATAACAAAATGCTTTAAACATTCAAAGATGCAGGATTGGTGAACAATGACCTAGTTGTTGTACTGATTCACACTAACAGTGTGATGCTGAAAAAGTATTTTGTGATTTTAGTTTACGTTTTGTAGTATGAATTTTATTATCTACAAAGTACACCGTTTTATTTCTGCACTATTCTTCTATCCCACTTCAATACTTTTCACTTTACCAATGGTGGTGGTATTCTAATTGATAATTAGTTTTATTCAGCTTGTAAGCAGTCTAACATCTATGTGAAACGATATGTAGATACATATTTTTAATGTACAGTATAATAATTCATTTTAGGAAATGGCTACTCATAAACGGAATGATAGACCATTCATTTTGGTCAATTACACTCTAATGAAACATTTTAAATGAGGTTCAACAACTGTCTAATGCTCTTTAGGTATCTTTTACTCTCCATTCAGTGTCAGTTTGCGATTTGAACTTTTCCGGCTGCATATTCATAAGGGGCTTGCATGAGCCATATATATAATTAGTTCTATTAACTAGTGACCCATCATTCAAATAATCGTCTTTTCACTTAGCACATTTTTATACAGAAATTGGGCGCGTTAGGTAATATTTTATCACTGACCATCTTCCTTTAGTGTTTCCCAATCTATCATTAATTCATGAGGCAGTATCTTCTGAAATCATTATGTTGAATGTTAATTCCATGACTATAGCAATTTTTATATTTTAAGTATGCTTACAAATTACTTATAAAAAGCAAGTACTATGTACAGTATTTTGGAATTTGATATTCGGTTTAGATCCTAGTCGTATTGGATAAGGTTCTCATGTCCGCAAGTTGTAATTTCTAGGTATTTTCTACTTAAGACTCCCTTCTTCTCTCTACCCATTTTTATTACTTTTTAAATTTCAAATCCATCTTTAGCAACGAAAACGTGAAGCTGAGGCTGCTGCACTTGCCCGTGCTGCTAGTGAGGAGCGTCGGAGGTCGGAAGCTGAACGTATTCGCAAGGAACGTGATCTAAATCGTAGTGAGGCTAAACGTGAAAGGCGTCAATTACGGAGTATCCTTGTCGAGCAACTCAATTACTTTGTAGATGATAAAATTGATACATCTGAAGTGGGTTCTCATCAAGTCAAAATTTTAGCCGATATGGATTTGTTATGTCAGCGTTTGTCGAATGCTCAGTAAGTCGCCTTGTTTCACATAACAATATGTTTGAGTATCCTTTTATATCCTTATATAGTGATAAGTAATAATCATTTTGTTTCATATTATATGTTTGATGCAGTGAGACATTTCCAAATTAAAATATTGCAATATTTTTCTTCTAGTCTGCATTTTAGTTGCGTAGCACTCAAATCAACCATCTCGTTCTAATCAGTTACCGGTATGTTTAACTTTTCTTAAAAACATAAATCTTACACCAGAACCGCTCATTCAGTGGTTCTGCTGCACAGGAATACCTCTTTAATTAGGTAGTCAACGTAGAACCTGGTACTTATGGCAACTTGGACCGATGTACATATCCCATTAGCACAGACAGGTGAAATTTTCGAACCAAATCCCGTAATAGTAGGAGTAGTAACAGTATCGGCGGTAAGTGGAAAGATTGGGTATTTAATATACAATTCGAAAAAATATAAATTACTGAAATAAAAACAAAATGTTTTGGGGAATGCAAAAGCTCAGAATTTGGGAAAAGACAAAGAACGAGTGCACCTGCACTATTGCAAACGATTTTGAGCCATGTTCTTCAAACTCTCCAACTATTGGTTGCGATAATCATGCGAACCCCAACCAGATAGTTTACACCTATTAAAGTGGCTTGGACAAATTGTCAGACGAGATAAGTTTCTGATCATCTGTCAACTCCGCAGACACCGCTGAAGCCCACTGATTTTCCATAACCTTTTGGTTTAAGTTAATAGTAGATATCACTACTGTTTCCGCAGTGTTTTGATATCATATCAAGCTACCTCGTGGTGGATGCCACTCTAATGGTTGATTAACTCTAGTTGTTCTTAACTTTTTCATCAGTAAGTTTCACTTAGGGGTTTTCTCGCTGTAGCTTTTCTATGTCCAGTAAGAAGACAAATACGTCCTATAACTAGAGCATGATCCGAGTCTAAGCACGTGCTTCAGAATGAGGAACAGTCTTCGGTCGAGTCTCTCCAACGATGGCTTGTGACAATGTGGTATATTCCAGTCGATCGTGGAGGTCACCACGTCAGACAATTTTTCTCCCTATGTTTGAAGTTGGTGTTAGCCAGAAGTAGACGGCTACCTGAGCATAGTTGCGATAGAGGGTTACCATTATCTGTTTTCTGGGCCGCAACACTGTAAATTCCCCCTAAGTGCCTTTCAATTTGGTTTAGTTTATCTATTTGAGCACTAAAGTTACCTACCACTATTACTGCCTCAGAGCGTTTAGCTTTTCGGAGGTTGAACAGCTTCCTATAAAATTGATCTTGAACTTCATCCGTGCTGCAGTCAGTGGGAGTGTATGCAGAGACAACGCAAATGTAACGACTTGTATTCCTATCCTTCCTAGTTCTTGTTGTCCGGTTTAGTCGGACAGCGCACAAGCGACTATCTACCAGAATCCAGTGTAACAGAGCCTGTTCTGCTTTAGAACTTAATACCATACCTACACTAGCAAAGCTGTGGAATTAGCAGTGAATTCTCCGTACACTCGAAGGATAAATCGTGTCGCTTCTGTATATTGATAAGATGAGGTCAAGTGAATGACTGTACTTGGATGCTGTATGTGCGTTTCGGAAACGCGCGAGATTCCAGAGTCCTAGCTAAAGAAGGCTGTTTTCCAATCTGACCCTAGGTTCAAACATTAAAAGCCCCAACATTTAGTTTACAGCGTGGTTTCAGGACACATTTTGTGAACTAAAATTATTAGTATTGGTGGTGTGTGGTGATAAAGATATATGAGAAAGGTTAGTCGTAGGGACGGAATATTTATTAAGAGGTAAGCGATTTGATCTTCAGCAAGATGATCTCGGGTGTTGATACAAGTATAAGGTTGGTTGCTACTTCCCGGTTGCCCACACCATGGAATTTTCTTTATGAGGAACCTAAAAAAGAGGTTGAATTTTAGTGGTGGTCTTAGCGACGTGAGAGCATGACCGCAGAGCCCAAGAAACAACTGCTTGAAGCCGGTCGCACACGATTTTATAGGTTGAGATTTTATCTATGATAGCTGGAATATCTCCATACTTCACATTATCTTTATGCAGACGTTTCATTCGAGTTGCGTGATTAAATAAATTGCATGTTCAAACCTAATGTGCAAAATACTTCACAAGAGTACAGTGTTGTCTAAACATTCATTAACATACTTGTGTACAAAGTTTCGAATCATATCGAATATCTATTTCGCTTTCATAATTGATACCTGAACAAATATCAGATGTTTGAATTGTCGTTAACCAGTTTCAATGTCCAAGTCTTATTCCTAAATAACTAAAACTGCTTGACTTTAATTTGGATAGCTAGCTCGCATCAATATTGCTTATGCTTAAGGTGTCATTACAAGCTGAGAACCTGGATCTGTACTTCATAATTAATTAATAACATAGTTATAACCGCTGAAAAAGTTGGTTACTTGCTACTTGTTATAAACTAATTAAATGCTGATATAACTCAACGCTAGGAAAAAGCCAAGACTGCAGCTGAAGATTTTAATTATTCATAAACAATATATCTACAGCTAATCATCTATCACTTCTTTGTTCAATAGTCAAGTTAAAATAAATTCAACTAGGCAGTCGTTATCATTAATTAATACTGTGCAACACTAGATCAAACCACTTTAACGAGCAAATCTAACTAGATGACTGATTTATATATTTGCTGATTCCTAACTGATAGACATTTACTAATTAGTGAGTTCATGTTGTCTTTACTTGGTCAAGTGGTAAATTTAAAAATCGTTTTCATTATTCAATGAATAGTAAATTGATAGTCTTGAAAAGAATGTCTTTCAAAAATATAAAATTTCTTAATGTATTACATGTTCAAGTAGAATATTCTTTTTTTTTCAATTAATACTAACATTTCGTTCCAATTGTTGTAGCCAATTATATTTTTTAAAGCAAACATGACATTTCTAAAGCATATCATGATATGTATGCATATGTACTGTGTATAAAAATACATATTGTTACACTCTAAATGATGAGTTATACTTATTTACTGATCTTCATATTTTGTATTCATAACAGATTGCATGAATTAAATGAATATTTGGAGCAGGCCGGTACCCCTGATAAAGCGCATTGTATTTTCTCAGCCAAGGTTTGTACCATTTTTCGTAAAGTATTTTTTTAATAAGTGAATTAATGTATATACAGTTGAATAGTTTTTGACAATGATGTTATATCATGTTAACTAAACAGTCCAATCAATGAAGTCGCAATAATTGTTAAGTTTCATGAATTTCAAGTCATAGTCTGTCGGGTTTTTTTTCGTTTGATCATTATATACAACAGAAAATGTCTTATTCATTCACTGTACCTAGACGTGAAATTATCACTCTTGTGACTCATTAAAATCACAGCGTGTTTGAAACCTGTCAAAATAAAAATATGCATGTTGAAAAACTCTAAAATACCTCATTTACTCGCCTTGAACTGATACCTTCGATTATGCGTTGAGGAGTGCAGTTACTGTGACTACACTCTGATAAATGTTAGTTCTTCCTTTCACCAACCAAATATATGGATTCATTTTAGTGAGTATGATTATCATCGTAATCTTGAAAATGTGGGGACTAGTCACTGAATTGTCTCATTACTTCATGAGTCCTTCCATTAAGCATTTCTTGAGTTGACTACTCATGATGCACACCTGAACTTGACGTGCTCATAACAAAGAACCACCCGACTAATTTGCCAAACAATCCATATAATCAAAACTGGGGAAAGTCTAAGTCGATCTTTTCTGTTCGGGCTCTTCACTTAAAACTTTCATGTCGTTTTCACTATCAATAATGCTTCAAGTCATTTTCTGGCTACCGGATTCCCTATAATTTTATTTCAAGAAAACTTGTACATTGTTGTGTAGAACTATAAACAAGTAGCGAAAAAGGTTATTCTTCGTGTTTACTGTCAGTAACATTTTTCAAGATGATCTATCCTCTGTATTCTGGTGTTGAAAACCGTTACCCATTTACGGATTTATGAACCAACGACTGGTAAATGCGATCAGTCCTCATTATTTTATATTGCCAGTGGTCAAAGCAATATAAGTCACGTAGTTTCAGAGGTAACTGGTAAATGACTTTATTTAAGGAATAATTCAGGTAATTTTTATTCGGCAATATAGATGATTTACAAATCTACTGTTTCTAGTTAAGTAGAACTTATTTCAAATAACATGTATCGATAGTCTGTCAGTATCTATTCTTTTGACGAGTTCACTTAAACAAAAGTTTTCATATAATAATCTGGCGTGAATATTTGTTAGGAAGAAATGGCTTTTTGTTGTATCATATCATTTTTGGAGTCATATAAAAGGTTGGTTGGAATTCATCTTTCATTCTTGTTGACAAGAATTTTTTCTGGGATTTTAAAGATAAACGATAACATCCGATAATCAATTTATGTATCGTTTGTTTTGGTGTTAAATTCATGTACTATTCATTAAATGTAATTTCTTTCTAAAAAGCTACTTAGTGGTATAAATGGATTCATTTGTTATGTTTTGACATTGATTAAAATGCAAAAGACATCACATTGCCATTATCATCTCTGTAACTAAATGCCCAAAAGAGAATTATTTCATATTGGTTTAATGATGAATATTGCAATTTATTCACTTTTTCCCTAGGTAGAATCAGTTAAACACGAGCTTCAAGCAAATAATCTGCAATCACAAACTAAACTAAGACCTGAAAACAGTCCTAGTACAGACAGCCAAACTAATGCTTCTAAGTGGACAACAGAAATGATCCAGGTTTTGGTTAAAGCAGTTAATATTCTTCCAGCTGGAACACCTAAACGGTAAACTTTTAACACTAAAACATTGACAATACTTTTCATATTACTTATCCTAATAATGCGAGTTGAAATCTGTTTGTTAAAGATGTACTACCTTGATATTCAATACTTTAATTATGAATTGTTTTGATTAATTATCCTAGTATGTTTTGACTTGTACTAATGGTCTGATTTCCGATTAAATCACCTTGCACCTGCCTAAATCTTCACCGAATTAGTTATATAAAATGAAAAGACAAAGGCTATATAATAAGCCGTATGACCCAAAAACTAAATAATAGTAATGCTTACAATTCATGCATATTTTAACCATCCGAAGTGACCCAAGTAAGAACATCCAAAGAGTTACCTTGACTGTGGGTGAATATTGGGTTTTTTGATAACAACCTTTCCAAACTTGTATCTCACTTACTACATGATCATAATGCATCATATAATTTTTCTATTCTTGATCGATATATTAACACAGTGTGTTTCTCTCATGAACTACATTAAAAGTTTAGTTATTTAAATTTATTGAACCTGAGGTTTTGGAAAAAGTGATGCTTTGGATTTTGTATTCAGGAATATAGTATAGAACATGAATGTATCTTTTTTAAGATGTGATATATTTTGGACTGACGTTTTTACTTTTAAAAAGCATTAATTCACTGAAGAAATGTCTTTTTTAATTGACCCGATAACTAGTCTTTATACTGAAATATAGATAGTGCAACTGTGGAAGTGGAAACAGTCTATTACCTGTTTCCCAAGTGGTTTAATATAGATTTACCATTTAATAAAGAAAAATAAATGATCAATTGGTCAGTTGTGATGGATTACTTATTAGATAAGTTAACAGCAGAAAATTTTATTTAGATAGCCTTGGTATTGTTTTTACGTAGTTTATGTAAATTGAGTAGAAATATGCACCAGGTTCTTTGACTATTAAAATGGTTAGTGCAAAAAAAGTAAATTATTGAGCCTTACATTCATTATCTAACTTCCCTCTGTGGCTAAAGAATCGAAATTATCTGTGTTTATTGTCCGTAGTGGTTGTTGTTAGAAGTGTCCGCCGTTATTTTCAGAACGCATCAGATAGTTAGTGGTGGCGACCAGTTAAATAAAATTATTTCCTAACCTCATCTCAGTTTATCTAATGGATAATCCTGGTTTAGAACGCCTCAGAATTAACTTGACTGGGTTTTCTGCCTTCTGTCATGTCGATTTAGCTGTGTTAGAATGTTGGTTGATGATGGCTAAGATGTTCCTAAAAGTATTCAGCTTATCGTTTCGACTATAGTGTTCAGGGATCAATCACTGATCCGTCTTTTTCAATGATAGTTCCACCACTTTTTAATTTGTTGGCTCTTCCCTCTGATAAATTTGAAATGTTTGGCATTACATCTTGCTTTTGAGTCCTCGTTTTTTGCCAACAATTAATACGTAAAAATGTCCCCGGTATACGTCGCTTCCATTCGTCACATTTACAGTCTACAATACAATTTTTTGAGTTCCGATTAGACTCTCTTGCCTTCTCAAATCGTTTATTGAAGTGTACTAAAAGTTACTGCTACTGTTTCATAGTAAACTAGAGGTAGCTCAAGTTGTCGTGTTCAATTTGACACAGATTTTAAAAACTAAAGCCACACTATTCAACTGGGATTTTAATAAACTGGGTTTAATGTTTCATAATCTAGAATCGTTGGCACTGGCTTTATTTTAGGGATGTTGCCAGCAGTAAGTTATTACTAGCGGGAATAGAAGAGAAAGTAGAATGTGAGAGCTCAGTAGTTGTGGTTATCACGAACTCACATGCTGCTGGAAATGTTTGAACACTTCTCCAATATATTACGCCATTGACTCATATTACTCAAAATCAGCACAAACTAACAGTTGATTCACTTAACTTTCAGCTATTGATTCATAGTTTCTGAACTTACCGCACTTATTTCAACATGGATAAAATTAGGGGTTCTTAAACCTTAGTACTCGAGCTTGTGGTTGGTTAGCTACTTGACTATGTTCTCCAGTAAACTATGTATATTTTCAAGTACTTTTCGCTAAGTACATTACTTGAATCTTAATTTATGGTATTTTTTCTATTGATAATTGAAATCTCAAGCTGGGAAGCGATAGCTGCTTATGTAAATCAACATATTAGTGGTGTCTCTGTGTCTGGTAAAGATGTTTTAAAGCAAGCAAAACTCTTAAAAGAGGAAGGTAAGTCACCCTTCGTTTCGTAGCACGCTTTGTTATTATATTTGTATCCGTAAACAATATTCTAAGATAAAATTACGTTACATGTACTACTTACTTGTTTGGCATACATATATAACATGGTAGAAAATAATGATATTTCTTTGGTGTTTACCTGGTTGTGTTCGTATTATAATGTTTGACAAATAACATTGTGTAACACACGTCTTAGATCCTTCTCTTAACCATGTTCTCTCTGTATTCTAGCGTGTATTTTCTTTCTTCACACATATTCCGCTTCATTAGGTGTAGCTTTCTCTTGAGAATCCAACTAGTTTTATGTATAGAAAGGCGGTTAATTGTGATAGTCATTCAGATGTTTTTAGTCCATCTTTCTCCTTTTTTTATCCTTTCACAGATTCCAATTTGCGTAAAACAGCCAATACTAAAGCATTTGATTCATTTACCAATTCTGTTAAAGAAACTGATGCTGTCAAAAATGTGACAATTACAACCCAATTAGAAGGTTTGTTCTATAATAAAATTAATTTATTTGAATTCACTAGTCATTTTCTTTAAATGATTGTTAGAAAATGAGTTATCATGCAACTCAGTAAACTAGATACTTTTTGTTTACTATAACGATTTCATCTTCTGACATTGTAAATTGTATTCATACGCTATTTTATTGACTCATTAACGTTTTGTATTACTCAGTTCAATTTATTGGAATTTGACTATTCATCAGTATAGGTAAAACATTTTAAAACTCAGTGCATTCAAATATAGATTTATTATGCACTAAAAATAGATCAAATCGTTGTTGTCGTGCTTCCTTCGAACCATATCAATTTTTTGTACAGTTAATAACAAGTATTGATGGGGATATTTTGATATATGTCGCTCCTAATTATTCAAATTAACGTATTTTTGTGGGAATATCAGAAACGGTCTGAGGACCGGGAACAAACACTTACTGAGATATTAACTTCAGTCTTTTCAGTTGGTGATATTTCAGCAAAAGCGAATTCCGTTTTCATGTCATTCTCTAGCAAATACAAGATAGTTTTGTCAAAACCTTCAATGATCGCTTAACTATCATACTTTCGACGATTTTCTGATAATTTGGATAAAATACTAAACCTGCAGGAATTTCAGTATGGTCGCTGCTATTTATTTTTCATATGTTTTGTATAACCTGCTCTTTAAAACTGCGACTATTATTTTAGATACAAATAATTGTCACATACTCGATGAAAGTCTTTTTTAAAATTGCATAGAACATATTATTATATGTGAAAATTATATTTGAAATATTCTCAGCGATTGAAATTTAACTAATTCCAACGTTTCGTCCAGCTAACTTGTCTGGACTTCTTCAGGGTAATAATCAAAATCAAAATTATCAAAGAAATATATAGCTTTTAACAATCAGGATTATACTGTGTTAAACCAATCATATTTGGGTGTTGATTTTTTGTAAAATAGGATAAAATGAGTCAGTTGACTACAAATCATGTGATGAATTCAACTACATGGAAATACTTAACTGAGTAACAAATCGTATGTGTGTGAGTGTGTATGTATGTATGCATGTGTGAGAGATTGATATGAAGGAATAAATAAATAAAGTTCAAGTTCAAGGATGAAAAAACTTGATAATGAAAGATCGATGTGCATGTCAAAACATAAATTGTATTGTTTAGAAACTCATTCAGTTCTTTCAATAATAATAACGATGCATGTGATATTAAAAACAGGTTTAAACAAGAGATAGGTTCCAAATTTACTTGTCAAACGAAATTTGCCAGGTAGTTGCCATTTGAATACCATCTTTTCGGTTCAGGCTGTTCTTGTTCGCCCATATATGCAGAGCTTCTGCTGTCAATCTTTCTTTATGGGTGTTAAAACCTTTCTGAAGTATTTTGGTCCCTTCAAAATTAATCTTGTATCCTGTTTCTAACGCATGTAACGCTATCGCTGACTTATTTTCAAGTTTCTTTAAATCTACCGAGGATTTCGGAACATTTTTCAAGCATTGTTTGTGTTCCTTCAATCTTACATTTAATTGCCTGGATGTTTCTCCAACATAGGTAGCATTACAGTCATGACAGTGAATCTCATACACAATGTTCTGTTGTTCTTCCTTTGCTAACTTGTCCTTAACTTTCACCAATGTCGATCTTAATGTGTTATTTGCTCTAAAATACACTCTTATATCACGTTTGTTTAGAATCCGTTTGATTTCTTCTGATGTTTCACTCCGGTAAGGTATGACTACGGTGTACTTCCATTCTTTTCGTATACTTTCTAGTTTAGTTTTTCTTTCATTTTTAATAATCTTTTTTAAAAACCTTTTTGGGTAGTTGTTATCCCTAAGAGTAGAAAACACTTTATTTAATTCGGTTCGTTGGTCTTCCTTGTCTGTAACAATCTTAGTACTTCTGTTCATTAGATTTTTTACCACATTAATTTTCGTGCTCTGTGAATGGGCTGAATTAAAATCTAAGTATCTCTCGGAATGCGTTGATTTTCTGTAGACATTTATTTTTAACTTCTTATTATTGTGTCGACGTTCAACCAGACAATCTAGAAATGCTAGTTTGTGGTCAACTGATTCTAATTCCTTAGTTAGTTTAATGTTTTCAGAAATGCTGTTTGCATTGTTAAATAGTTCTTCCATACCATCCCGTTTATTGATAATAAAAATGTCGTCTACATACCTTAACCATAACTTTGGTGGACATAAACTCTTTGCGATTGCACTAGCAGAAGCTCTGCATATATGGGCGAACAAGAACAGCCTGAACCGAAAAGATGGTATTCAAATGGCAACTACCTGGCAAATTTCGTTTGACAAGTAAATTTGGAACCTATCTCTTGTTTAAACCTGTTTTTAATATCACATGCATCGTTATTATTATTGAAAGAACTGAATGAGTTTCTAAACAATACAATTTATGTTTTGACATGCACATCGATCTTTCATTATCAAGTTTTTTCATCCTTGAACTTGAACTTTATTTCACAGGTTGAAATCATGAGTCAGTTGAAGCTAGACCACCATTGAAAACCTGGAAGCACTGGACGGCCGTTTCGTCCTGATATGGGACTCCTCAGCAGTGCGCATCCACGATCCCGCACCACGCGGGGCTCGAACCCAGGACCTACTGGCTTCGCGCGCGAGCACTTAACCACTAGACCACTGAGCCGGCATCCAACGGTGTTAATGTCTAACTTCAACCAATCCACGAAGTTGCGCCACCGTACACCATTGTCTTCAGTGAGTTGTTATCTCACAACAGACCGGTTGAACTCCACTGGTAACGGCTTCTCACTAGAACTTCAGGAGTTTTTCCTGAAGTCAGTCACTAGTGAGCAGTTGATTATTATTATCAGAATGGGTTTTGTGGAGAATTTTAGAAATTTCACAGGTTGAAATCATGAGTCAGTTGAAGCTAGACCACCATTGAAAACCTGGAAGCACTGGACGGCCGTTTCGTCCTGATATGGGACTCCTCAGCAGTGCGCATCCACGATCCCGCACCACGCGGAGCTCGAACCCAGGACCTACTGGCTTCGCGCGCGAGCACTTAACCACTAGACCACTGAGCCGGCATCCAACGGTGTTAATGTCTAGCTTCAACTGACTCATGATTTCAACCTGTGAAATTTCTAAAATTCTCCACAAAACCCATTCTGATAATAATAATCAACTGCTCACTAGTGACTGACTTCAGGAAAAACTCCTGAAGTTCTAGTGAGAAGCCGTTACCAGTGGAGTTCAACCGGTCTGTTGTGAGATAACAACTCACTGAAGACAATGGTGTACGGTGGCGCAACTTCGTGGATTGGTTGAAGTTAGACATTAACACCGTTGGATGCCGGCTCAGTGGTCTAGTGGTTAAGTGCTCGCGCGCGAAGCCAGTAGGTCCTGGGTTCGAGCCCCGCGTGGTGCGGGATCGTGGATGCGCACTGCTGAGGAGTCCCATATCAGGACGAAACGGCCGTCCAGTGCTTCCAGGTTTTCAATGGTGGTCTAGCTTCAACTGACTCATGATTTCAACCTGTGAAATTTCTAAAATTCTCCACAAAACCCATTCTGATAATGAACTTTATTTATTTATTCCTTCATATCAATCTCTCACACATGCATACATACATACACACTCACACACATACGATTTGTTACTCAGTTAAGTATTTCCATGTAGTTGAATTCATCACATGATTTGTAGTCAACTGACTCATTTTATCCTATTTTACAAAAAATCAACACCCAAATATGATTGGTTTAACACAGTATAATCCTGATTGTTAAAAGCTATATATTTCTTTGATAATTTTGATTTTGATTATTACCCTGAAGAAGTCCAGACAAGTTAGCTGGACGAAACGTTGGAATTAGTTAAATTTCAATCGCTGAGAATATTTCAAATATAATTTTCACATATAATGACTTCTCTATACTCGGCGCTCAATTACTGTCAAACTATTCGTTCTAATCTTGACGAATATTCGTATGCATAGAACATAATTATCTTCATCTCAGTTGACGAATTAATTACAAACTCATGTTGTTGCACATGCGTCATGTTTGCTCATTATCAACAAATTTGTTTAAATTACTATTTTCCTCCAAATCATTAAAGTCTAAAAGCACTCTTGTCCGCTTTAACAACTTGAATGAAATACTTATGATCTATCCATTCATAGCTTTCAGAACACCTTGTGCGCACTAAATAGGATCGTAACTTCGGTGAACACAAAAACTCATAGTATAGTGATTGTCGATATTAACCGATTATATGTAATTTTATATTAACCTTCCTTTGTGTTGTTTACTCTATCATTAGCTGAAGTATCTCGTCCTTGGACAGTTATTGAACAACGTGCCTTAGAACAAGCCCTCAAGACTTATCCAAGTAATGCTGGAGATTCTGGTTCGGATGATCGTTGGCAACTTATTGCGAATGTTGTCGGTACTCGTACTCGACGTGAATGCATAATAAGGTGTAAAGAGTTAGCAGAACAGGTGAGTTTACTCTTAAATTTAAAAGTTAGATACATATTACTTACTGTGAAGTACGAGTTCCCTAATAGTTATCAATATGCTTTTTTAATGAACGCCTAAGATACATATGATTGTAACTATACCTATGTACAGATGTATGTATCGTTTGCAAAAGGCTTAAAACACGATCTACATTTTCTGATCCTATCATAATAAACCGCCTCACCTCGAAAACTCTTGATTTATAACATTACTGTAATATACAGTAATATTTGTATACATATACGAAACTATTGAACTAATCAATGTACTTTACGAGTCACAGTGACATAAATAAACATAATAAATAGAAAGTACAAATCGACAGTGTGATGACGGGTGTACCAGTTGCTATAAGAATAACAAAGGTTTGAGTCCGTGTTTCATAATGGGAAATAGGTCAATGATTTGAAAAATGTGGATGCTGAAATAACATTCATAAAAACTACAACATGTAATAAGAAGTATTCAGATAATTGGATAACGAAGCGTTTATTTGAAAATCAAAGGGGAGGTGAAAAAAGTCAACGAACAAAGTATGGAAAATAATAAATGAAATCTCTTGTTAAGGCCAATTAGTCCAAGGAAGAGATAAAGGTGTTACAAATCTCTTATGAATATAAAGACCTGGATTGTTAGCTCGAGTTTCCAAAGCTTCTGCTGTGTGTAAGAGACAAGATCAAACCCCATAAGGGAAACTAGTAAAAATGCGATAAATCACAGGAAAGTAGCGACATTAGGGGTTAATAAGAAACCTCTCTTCTTGAAGCTGGAATTCGACGAAAATATACCTGGTAACATGCTACGGGATAGGCTGACTAGAGCAATGAGGAGGATGTTTAATACAGCTAACCTCTATCTCTCGTTTCCGATTTGATCTATGGAGATTCCTCAACTAAAGAATAAGTCATCTGGTACTGCCACATCTATGTGTATCTATGAATACATCTGCTCTTGTGGAGTAAGTTTTATTTTGCGCACAACCAGACAACTGATCCAAAGAGTTAGTGAACACCTCCCTTCGTGGTATCGTTAAAACAATATGCAGCTCTGTTCTATCTCACTTGATCGATAGTGGTCATGTAGTAGATAGAAACAAGTCATTTAAAGTGATTAGGTAGGTACACATTTATCATAATGGTTCATAATCAAAATCGCCCAGAAATAAAATGGGATGAAGACAGGCCGTTTTTGACTTATTGATTTTTCTAGTTATATAAATTAATGTTTGTTTGTAGAAACGTTTTAGTGTTGAATTGTTTCATTAAGTAGGATTACTTTTTTCTTTGTTCAACTTTCATCTAGGTTCGCGCTAAAAAGGCTGCTTTGGCTGCGGCCAAGAAATCTTGAACTTTGTCCAAAACAGTTGCTTGATATAGTCACGGAATTCTTCCAAAAAGAGATAAAACTATCTTTACACTGTTCGGTTTTAATGTCTTAGCAAACACAATCATTTAGACAAATGAAGTAGGAATAACAGTTTCAGATGTTCATTATTTCGTTTTAATCTCAACTAAACTGTTTAATGTATTGATAAACTACCAAAGTTGGTCAATTTATATGTAAATTGCTTTTCCCTATACACAACTCATAATCAGTTATACTTGTTGATCCTATCAACATCCAGTGTTTTAAAATGCTAACTATTCTTTGATACATTCGTCTTTTGTATTAAATATTTAGCCTTTTGAGCTTTTACTGCACCATTCGTCCTCTATGTATTACTGCTTAGTAGAAATACTACGCAGGAAAATGTGAAAGAAGAAACTGTTTTTTCCACCGTTCATTGAAATTTACTCGTCAACTACTTTGTAAATGGATTATGTTTGAACGTTTTATCCATTGCCCAAATATCATATATCTAATCTATCGAAGTATATGCACAGTTCATCAGGTAATTTATACTATTATCATCACTAATAGTGCATTCACTGATGTAAAGAAACAAGTAAATCCCCACGAAATATCTGATTCTGTAGATATGTTCATCTGATTAAAGTTAATGTTTGTCATTTCCTTTAAGCTGTGCACTAATCAATGTAATATAAGTAGCAAGAATTTGCTATGCAATTGAAGTACCATATAATTAACTTCAGTTGCAACTCATCTCGATGCTTTTAAATATCACATCAACATTCCCTCTAACCAAACATCTGAAAGATGTTATATTTCGGTTCTCTACTATAAAAGAAATTATGTAAGCATGTTAGCTACGTAGTACGAACGTGCGTCTTCCTCGTAAAATACCTAGTTTTGAAATTGTCAACCTTTATGGGTTTCTTGATTATTACATTTTTCATAATGTACCGATATAACTTAGTATCACGGTAACACTATCGTTCAACCAATTTCCTATAGTTTTTCTTTAAAGTAGATTATATTGCTAGATAGGTTTAAGCTATGAAAATAGCCGGTATAGTTCTTTGTGGTTTTATGATACATTCATATCTAAGCACCGGGTTTTTGCGTGCTCCCTACGTTTATAGGTTCATGATCTCAGTTAAAGCTTGAGATATCCCGGGGAATCTTGTGTTCAGTAGTATGAGTAATTTCCAAAATTACACAAAGCTTACATGAAAACTGAAAAACTTGGTAGTTGGAGCGTGTATCTGCTAACTGTCGGGAACTACTCAACTCATCTGAGCTACTGTCAACAATTCTTGCATCATTGCATTAAACTTGTGGCCTGTGTGCCCTGCTAATGTATAGCGTACTGTTACCGCCAATTAAAGAACAGTGAATTATCGATCGGATCAATGACGCGTAAAACTTGTACGAGACGTTTAGAGTCCTTATCGGTCCTGTTTCCTACCTAGTCCAGCCAGTTAAGTCCAGAACACCAATTTCACCCACTGTGATATTAATCATTTATTTCAAACACTAGGTTTATATACCAACCAGACAGACCACATAGTACCATAAAATAGGAAACAACATTTGTACACGATTTAGCCAAAAGTGGTTGTGAATGTCGGAGGTAGTAATCACCCGACCGTTGTTGCTACCTTGACGTGGTGGTCGGGCTTGCCCATCGTGATGAAGCAACCGAGCTATACTGGCTGGAACAACCGTTCCTCAAGGTCCTACCATGTCAGACAGGTCGGTTGAAGAGCGGTAAGACTAAAAGCAACAAACCCAAGGTCCGAAGGTGAAGTCGTACTGCTGACTGTACAGAGGTGTGACAGCAGTAAGATGTTTCCTTCAGACAACCAGCATGACAGCGATGCTGCCTTCCCACAAGGAGAGGTGGGGTTAGAGAAGGTCGACTCTAAAAATGCACACCTCACCTTATCCCACGGATATCCGTCTCCGGCGGTAAGGTCTCAACAAGTACGGAGCTAACACAAAAATTACCCATAAAAAGATCGTGTGTGACCGACCTCAAGCAGTTGTCCCTTGGGTACTGCGGTCACGCTCCCAGGTCACTAAGACCACCTCTAATCCAATTTCCTTTTCAGGTACCTCCAGAACAACCCTTCCACGGTGTGGGCAACCGGAAAGTGATAATCGCCCTCATACCTCTAACAGCACTCAAGACCACTGTATTCATAATCAACCTCCGTCTTCACTTTCTATTATTCCTCCTACATCGACTTTCACTTCTAAACTTCCCTTTTCGACTTCCTCCTCAAATGTTACCATAGCCAACGATTCTAGTGCTCAAAACACTGTCCCAGGTCTACTGAAACCTCGCTCCAAACTACACATTGGAGCCTTCAACGTACGCACCCTATGTCAAATCGGTCAACAGGCCTCCTTGGCTAGAACCATAGAATATCGTACCATTGATGTATGCTGTGTCTCTGAAACACAAATACAGGATCTCAGTGTGGTCATTCACTTGACCTCACCTCGGCAAAACGGAGAGCCAACGAGATTCACCCTCCGTGTATCTGGTGACCCGACGGCCAGCTCTCGTGGACTGTCAGGAGTAGGGCTAGCAGTAAGCACTGTTAGAGTGGATCGCCGTTAACAGTCGTTTATGTGCTGTTCGGCTAAACGGCTCCGTAAGAACTGGGGAGGATAGGGACACACGTCGTTGTCTTTTTGTCGTTTCTGCCTACGCTCCCACCGACTGCAGCTCAGATGAAGTGAAAGATGAATTTTACAGAAAGCTATCTGAACTTCTTCAGAAAGCTAAACGTTCAGACATAGTACTCGTAGCAGGTGACTTTAATGCCCAGATTTTAAGCATAAGGAAAGACATCGTCTAACATGGCGACTCCCCACACCAAACCACTGATGGACTCAAATAGACCATATTGCCATCAGTCATCGTTGGAGAGGGTCGGTAGAAGATTGTCGCTCATTCTGGAGTACCTGCTTGGACTCCGACCACGCCCTAATACGGGCACGCATCTGCTTGCGCCTCACTGGACGCAAAAAAGCCACAATAAAAAGACCCATTAGAACTGAATTGAGTTGCGAGAAGACCAAAAGTAGGTTCCAGGAACAACTGAGGTCACACTTGGGTAGTTCTGAAAACGAGGCTGACCCAGATGTTGCTTGAAAAGCTATACAAACAGCAGTGACATCTGTTAGTGATTTAAACCACAGGGTTACAAAGAACCAGTGGATTTCCTCAAGGTATATTGCACTGATGGATTCTCGTAAACTCATCCCATCAGGCTCTGAACACGATGAAGAGCGACAACAAATCAGATCTAGGTTAGGCAAAAGTCTAAGGAACGACCGTGAGCAGTGGTGGGCAACGAAAGCAAAAGAGATGGAAATGGCGGCGGCTATAGGGAACACAAGACAGCTCTACAGACTAATAAAAGAAACCGGAATTAATAAGTCAAGTGTAAGTCAGACTATTTCGGAAAAACACAAGACTCTCATCTGCTCCCAGTCCAGACGTTTAGAACGATGGGCGGAACATTTCAGAGAACAGTTCAGCTGGTCGTCAGCTACTCTACATTTACCCACCATTACCAAACAGCCTGAATGGAACATTCAAGTAGGTCCCCTAACTCTAGCAGAAGTTCAAAAGGCTGCAGCTAATCTGAAACGAATAAGGGCAGCTGGTCCAGATGGATTGACTCCAGAGGTCTTTAAGGATGGTGGTCCAAGTTTAGCGATTAGATTGACGAATACTTTAGCTAAGATCTGGGAGTTAGACGTTATTCCATCTGACTGGTCACGATCACTTATCGTCCCAATATATAAGAGAGGGTTAAAATCATCCTGTGACAACCATAGAGGGATTAGTTTAACTAATATAGTATCTAAAATACTAGCCTCGATAATTATCAGACGCTTAACGAAGACTCGTGAACTGCAAACACGAGAGAATCAAACTGGCTTCAGACCTGGTCGTTGCTGCATCGACCACATATCCACCATTCGTCAGGTTCTAGAACATAGTCATACTTATCGGCGTCCGACAATGGTGGTCTAACGTGACTTCAAAGCAGCATTTGACTCCGTAGACCGCGAGATTCTGTGGCAGTGTCTGTCATTGAAAGGCGTAACTCAGAAGTACATAAACCTTGTGAAGACTCTACTCGAACACCACAAGTCGAGTCAGAGCTGATGGCGAACTTCCATCTGATTTCGCAACCTCAAGTGGTGTCCGTCAAGGCTGTCCACTTTCTCCATTTTTGTTTAACTTCATCACAGACCTATTGATGGGAATAACATTCTCGGGTATTGGTCTCCTTCCAGGAGGTCCACTTATCGACTTAGAATACGCAGATGGTATAGTCCTGTTTGGTGAAGACGCTGATAAAATGCAGTCTTTTGATAGCACTAAGCAACAATACCAGAATGTTTGGAATGCGCTTCTCTCCCTCTAAATGCAAGCTGTTGCTTCAGGACTGGTCTGCGTCAACACCTGAACTAAGGATAGGTAGTGAAGTAGTCGAACGCGTTGACAACTTCACTTATCTTGGAAGTCTGATCAGCCCTAATGGGTTGGTGTCCGACGAAATCTCAGCACGAATTTGGAAAGCTCGTTTGGCTTTTGCCAACTTACTTCACCTTTGGCGAAGGCGAATCTATCAATAAAAGGACGAGTATACTGCGTGGCAGTCCGTTCTGTTTTAATTTACTGCAGCGAAACATGGCCATTAAGAGTAGAAGATAGTCGTAAGCTACTAGTATTTAACCACAGATGCTTTAGAAATATTGTTGGCGTCTACTGGGATCACCGGGTAAGTAATAGTGAGGTTAGACGCAGGGCATTAGGTAATGATGGTAAATCAGTTGATGAGGTTGTGAATCTTCATCGACTGAGATGGTTGGGTCACGTGTTACGTATGCCTGAACACCGATTACCACGAAGTGCAATGCTAACCGGTGTTGGAGATGGTTGGAAGAAAGTTAGGGGCGGCCAAACCAAAACGCGGCATCAGTGCTTGAAGTCACTAACTTCTAATCTGATCCATGTTGGTAGATGCAGACTACTTGGTTGGGGTCCGTGTGACTATCGTAACCAATGGTTGGAGACTCTTGGTGACATGGCTCAGAACCGATCACAATGGCGTCGGTGTATACACTCTGTCTTCCCTTAAACTAAGGGATTAAAATCGCTTCATATCTTTCTTTCTACGAACTAATTCTTTCTTCCTGTACTATATCCTTATTGCAATCTTTCCTTTATATATTACCACCTCTGAATTAACTACTTTTATGAATCTGGTGTCCATCTTGTTGTGTTAATGAGGTATGGCAACTTGGACCGATGCATATATGTGCCTGGTGCTACGTTGTAGCTGACTGATTGAGGTAGTAATTGACAGACAGAGCATAACTCAAGAATGATAAATCGTATAATAATAGGTCAAAATAAAGCTTATAATAAGAGGAATGCGAATACGAATAGCTTAGTTACTTAGCGATTATACAATAAAAATATACATATAGTATTCGACCAGAAATAGATCTCCACAGTTACTATTCATTATTCTCATCGGGATATAACAGTTTGTAACCTCTAAATGGGCCTCAAACGCTGTACAGATCAAAACGAGAGACAGTTCAATTGATTTTTCACCACAACACTGTTAATAAGACTTCGCTGTGTTCCTTGGCCGGGAACTATTGATACACATGATGAGTTAGTGGTTCAAGAACAATTATAACTTCTGACGTATTGCACAGATCACTACTGCTTGACGAAGGTTTCTAATCAACAAATTAAAACATGACATTTGATCAGAGACTATGTTCTCTAGGTATTAGAAATACGACCAAATTAGCTGTTTGGTCCTCATTAGCTATTTTTGATTTAATAAGTAATTCCCATATATTGAAATTAGATTTCGTAGTCAATATATAAATGGCAATCTCTGTTACTTATACTAATCAACTGAGCTGAAATCTACCATTTACACATTATGTTTGAATTTTGCGCCTAAAACTAAAGGCTCGTCCCAATAGCATAGTTTTAACGAATGTCCAGGGTTATGCCTTTTCCTACTCAAACAGTTGGTCTGTTTTCATGTGAATGAACTCTAAAGTTATTAACTAAATTTTTTGTTGACCATAGGTAGTAGTTAAAACATGCACACGGTTACACGTGAAGTATCGAAACTGAATAAAAAACAATTTACTTAAAATGTACCATTCACACTAACTTTTTTCATATTTCGAAAAGAGAACTCTAACTATTGAATAATAAGTCCATAAGTTAAAAGGAAAACTATGTTTTGTGTGTGTGTATAAGCGGTACATTATGATCACTTCGTACTGCCTTTTAATAATTTTCGAAATTCTTCATATGATTCGAATTAGTTCATCATTTGTATTTCATCCTTAGTTAATGTAGTGGATGAAACATTAACAAGTAGAATATGTATCAACGTAAAATCATTGTAATGCAAAAGTGTATGCATTGATTGTGCAGTGTACTAGAGATGATTTACAATAATAAATCATTGAGTTGTATGTTGTCACATTTTAAGCATACACTCGAAATATAAAAAATGGTATGGAGTTAAGTAAGGAATTTATGGAAATAGACCAGACACTTGTACAATCTGTTTACTACTAAATATATTCAAATGAATCATTCTGTAAACAACTTATAAAACTGACATATATCCAAATATATTATGAATAATATATCTTTTTATTCTTATTACGTGAATACTGAACTGTGAATATTAGTTTGTTTAGTTTACTACCATGAGAACAAGTAGATCCAGTTGTTTTCAAATAAATTGACCTTCAGTTAGCTATTTGCAATCTTATTTATGAATGCTTTGTCTAACACAATGTAGAATTTGAAAACTAAATATTTTTAGGATCATATTTTGTGATTAGATTGGCATGATTTAAAGACGAATTTCCATGAGGAAAGGGATTGTTCTAATTGAACCCATGTTGAGACAAATGCCTCTGACTCGTCTAGATTATGTACGGGTTATACGTGAATTAACTGAAGCTAAACTAGGGTTCAATAAATTCTGATCAAAGTGTAAATTTATCAGACACATTCAGAGACCTAAACCTCTTTAGCTCAAGCTTTTGTGATAATTGATAGGTATTGCCAAAGAATTTCAAACGAATGACAATGATTTCAATAGTTGAGATCGTGAGTCAATTGAAGCTAGACCACATTGCAAGCGCTGGACGGCCATTTAGTCCTATAATAATGAACTGTCTAAAGTACCTTAATTGTTATTATTTCTTGAACTAACATCAATCTGTGGAAATTTTCTTCGGATGCAAGACATATATATAGACTTGTTTTAATAATCATTCTAATTATTTTGTAGTTATAGAACAATAAACTAATATGAAAAATCTCTACTGAGTTCATTTATCACTTCAATTGCTGTATACCCGAGTTTTTCAGTTCGTGAGGAAAACGATCATAATTTTATACTGAAGGGTTTTAATCATCTTGTTGTTAATAATTAGACAGGAATCTTCACCAGTCTGTATTGGTATATGTAAACTCTGAGCCCATGCTTAGATGTAGTTTATTGGTACAAGTTTTAGTTTGGATTGTAAACGTCTGCCAAGACCCGCACTTCATCCATTCTATTTGGCATTAGCCAGTCGGATTTACCTGCATTATCATTGTTGATATTCACAGAGAACTCCTCTTCAAACCTTAATCTGTTATCCTCCAAGTTACTGAGTTCAGGTAGCCGCTAATTTGTTCAACGGACATGATGCTAATTCGTCAGCGTTTGCGTTATCCAGTTGTTGACATTCAGAAAACACCAGCCCTAAACAAAACAACTTTCATCTTAAATCCCACTGCTAGCAAATATACTAAGCTAACAATAAATAACTGGATAGTGAACCGTCGAAAACATTTTTAAATGCTATCTACTATAAACTCGTCGAATAACGAATTATCACTGAAATGTTCTTTATTTGGAATAATGAAGGACTGTGTTGATTTTTCATGAGATGGAAGAGTAATGATTTAGAGAATATTTTCCTAGTTTAAGTCAACTTTCGGATATACAATAGCATTAAATCTAAATTTATTTCCAGAATCTTAAGAAATGTTACAGCGCACAAAAAGCTGATATCTTCAAAATGTTTTGTTTGTTATGTTGGGATAGCTTATTACTTTACATTTAAAACGAGGAACCACTGCAATTCACACGACGTGAAGTAACGACACAAGGACTAGTACAAGTGAAGACCTATTAAACGCAAAATACGACAACCCTAATCGAAAATACACTCCTTTATGTATTGATTGTATATTAATTTTGTTGTAACGTGTGGGCTGCAAGGTTTTGATAAGCAGCGTATCTATCGATCGATCACAGTGACACAGAAAACACGTACGGACGACCTAATGTCTCGATTGGTCACGCTTGTCTGTCTAGCCCGGCCAGTTGAGTCCAGAACGCAAGTCACAGCCTCTGAGTTATGAATCATTATATTTCAAACATACTTTGTTTATATACCAGTCAAGCAGACCACATCGTACGATAAAATAGAAGATAACATTGTACAATATTAACCAGTAGGAAAACGACACGTGAAATAAGTACTGACCAATAAGTAAATAATACCATCTCCAAGTCCAAGAATAGCATTAGACTTAATAGAATAATTTCTGGGATATTTTCCTGAATATCCCAACAGATTTTTAATATTAATTAGAATGAAATCATATATACGGAAAATACCCAGTTATAATAAATCATGTATTGCATGTCATGCTAAGTTAATACGAGAATATCATATCTTTAACAAACACCATACTCAAATAAATTACTGGTATACTCAATAAAATATCACACTGGGAAACAAAACAAATACTGCAATGAGCAATTACCACAATGAATTGAAACGAAAGTAATGTTGGACAGAAATCATAATGAAAATTGTGATTTCACTTTTCCATTGTTATATTAGTTATCAGTAAACTTCAAATGCCGATAAACTAACATAAAATCTGTCAGATGGCTCTGAAATCTACATCCATACAGAAAAATAAAATATGGATTGTCGATATGCTTTTAATTGTCAAAACCCTATGTTGCGAGTTTAGGCTTGGAACCGAGGGATCACCGGATTCCTATTCACCTGCTTGAATGTATCCTCCCCACTCGATCTAAACTTTTTTGGGCCCGAACTCATGTAGTGCACATACTGCTGACGAGGCCCCAACTACGATGAAATAGCTGTTTAGTTTTTCGCATTATTTAGCAGTTTTCCAGAGGATGCTTTCTTCTTACAAAAATCACACTGACAATGTGCGAGTTGCTTCACAAATCACCTCAGTAAAATTAAATTCCCTTTGTCAAGCGCGTTGGTGTAGCATCAATGGTACCGTTTAATTTTCCAGAGCTAAATGAACAGATTTGATCTCGAACTTCTCAGTAACCTTGAGGAACTCGAAACTCGTATAAATAGGCGTACATAGTAACCATGTTTTTTTCATTCGCCTTTATCATCTACTTTCTGAGTGCATAATAACGGATATATACTCAGAACTAGTTTTAGACCCTATCATGCTTTGATTTTTGTGTTATTTATCAACGGTTAGTCAAATAGCGTGTCCCGACTACTGGTCATACTATAGTCTCGTTTATGCTGCTCACTGATTACTAGGTTCTTGTTATAACCTATGGACCTTAATGGGTACATGACTACATTTCCAATACTAAGCCGAATAGGGAGCTTATAGTCGACTAACCTGTAATTTATGAACTGTAATAGAAAAAATGATTGATGTCGAAAGACAACTTAAAACTAGAATATGGGAAATGTCACTTGTAGGGTGGAAATCCATCACGGACATACAAAAACACTTGATACTCTAACCTTTCTGTTGACGAAGCCTTCAAGATTATATCAAAGTCAACAGGAAAAAATCCGAACGTTAATTTCTGGCTAATATTAAGATATTTGTGATCTCCCGCAAAATCGTCAAACGTAAAATACTTCAGTTTTAATCTATTTGTAAATTCCATTTATTTTGTACTGTTTCATTAAGATGTTCCGATTGTTGTGCATGTAAAAAATTCTACTGTACAGTTTACGATGTGGGACGAATTTATTCATTTGATCATATTAATATTGGTACATATGATCAACAAAGCGCCACACAAGTCACTTGTTTTGTGTGAGGGTTGTGATACTGCTTTGATATTGAAGGAATTAGATTTCTAAGCGGCAAAAAAATAGAAAGGGATAAAGAACAGTGCTTCCTGTAGTTATGTAAGGAACCTAAGATTTAGTCAGTCTCATCTTAATTTAATCTTGTAATTTTGTGCAACCATAATTAGTAATAGAATAAACGTTTTTGCCTTGTTCTGAGACTCAATAGATAAACTGGATGGGAGAATATAGTCAGGATAGTGCAGTATTTTCAGTGCATAAGCAAATTAGTGTAATTCGCTCACAAATGGGCTGATTGGAGCTAAGCGAGACCATCAGGAAATGGAGATTCAGATTTTAAGATATAATTTACGACTGATAGCGCCGTACTTGTATGCCGCATTAACAAGATCGTATTAGCACTTTTGAGGACAATATCAATCTGACCGGATCACTGACATTGCAACTTGGTAATTTTCAAATCTAAAGATGCTCTTTTTAATCAAACAGCCGTATAAGTTAACTCAGCGTCTAGCAAGGACACATGCGCCAGCTTTTCGAAATCTTCAAATGTTTCACATATAAGGAACACAGTATGCAGCTACTGCTTCCAAAAAAATTGATAAGTGAACTGTCATAATAATTATGGAATGCCGAATGCAATTAGTGTCATGACTAACTGGCCTCAAATGCCCTGGTATGACCGAGAGTGGGGAGAGTCCGCTCTCCCTCTCCAAATGCTCTCACATGGCCACGCGTATATAGCCTTTATCAGGGAAGTCCTACTCATCGCTTTCTCGTGGCGAAATTGAGAGGACAAAAGCGAATGTTCGGTGCTTTATCCGGGTTGGTGGATATGGAGGATCCACCTAGGGGAGTTGCAGGACCCTGATTCCAAACCAATGGTGCACATGGGCTCCAGGATCCTGAAGGAACAAATGGCGTATGAACAAATTGTTGGCCACCGGCTACTATGGGACTGCATCTTCTCACGATGCTTCACTGCCTTGTGGATCAGACCTTCAGGTCGAAGGCCCCGGGTGTGGCCCCCTAAGAAAACCACCTGCTTTGGTTTGGAAACCCTAGCAGTATCACAGCCCTCACACATATCAAACGAGATTTGTGTGGCGCATATGTATTTGATGACTATGTGTTAAAGTAAATAAAAATAACTATGCTACACAGTAACATGTAGAACATTGCAAACAATTTATAATGCTTATGCACGAGTCCAAATCTGTCAACACTTTAATTTTAGTAATGTCACCCTGTTTAAGAGATTTGTTGGATTATCACTGCCTCTAATTAGTAAAGTGTTGCCTCTGATCATGTCGGTGTATAATCATGAACGAAACCAACTGCAGGAAGAATAAATGTAGTCATTTTAAAAATGTATTACAATCTTTGGATCACTATTAATCTTTAACTGTTAGCTTGGCATGCCAAAACTCAAACATAAGATTGTTGTTAAGAGAAAGCTATTCGCGCATGTTCTACGTCGCACAAAGCAATATGGTACCAAATTATACATTGCGATTGGTCACTGAACCAAAGAAATGCAATATCAACAAACAAAGGCCATCGGCTACAACCGTCAGCTATAGATATATAAAGTTAAGCAATATACCGGGCTTGATCAATACGACAATCAGTAAGTAGGTTGAGCAAATGCAGTAGTCATTCCTCGATGAGCGCCACCACGACCTGGATGAGCACCGAAATTACCGCCACCACCCCGCTGACCGGTATTACGTCTTGGACCACCGCCTTGTGGGGAAAAAATGAAAATGTCTGTAATGTATGGTACATATAACAAAACAAAACATTGACAACAATGTTTAATGAATTTTGAATATTCAAAAAGCAATGCCAGGTGTAGAAAATCATTCAAATTCAATTATATATCTGTTTGAAACCAACTAATACGCTGAAATACAAAATCACACTAGTGATACTAAATTTAACAAATGTACGCTCTTTGAAAAACTCCTACATTATAAACAAAGTATGCATCCGAATATTAGCCAATGAAAAAGAAACGTACTTCCACGACCTCGATTTTCATTTGGAATGCGACTACGTGATCCAACTTTGGAATTTCCACGCGCGAAATTCGAATCAAGTTGTTCGGACTCACGAGAGTTTTCATCCATTGTGCGGTCGATCTTTTTAGAGTTTATATTATCTACAACTGCTGGACGACTAAAACCTGCGTGTACTTGGCCGGCTCTCCGAACAGAATCCGCATATGAAATTGGTTTGTGAATATTGCTATTTCCCTCATGCTCATCCTGAGATAATATTGATTTAAAAGACGTAGGTTGATTGACATTGTCTGATGACAAAGATGATGAACTTCTTCCGAATAATTCAATCTTTGAGTGTTCAACTTCTGGAATATTCAAAACATATTGTTGGTCTATCCTTGTAACCAATGAAGGGTCTATGTTATCTTCGATATTATGATTACTGAAACAAGAAACACTTGTTTTACTTGGTAATTGATTAACAGGCATAACATCTTCGTAGTTTGCTGGAGGTTCGGGCGTGATATGCGAATGAGTGACTCTAGAAGCCTGAAGCAAAAGTAGCGAGCTTAACATTAAACAAGTGAAGCTGGTAACAAAAATACACACAATATATAGAAATATAATAAAAACGACAGCCAAAAAATCGAGAAACTGAGGTGATACTCATGATTTCACGAGGCAAATTACACATCAGTTTATTCCTTAAAGGTATGATATCAGCTAGAGACTTAGCAACACAAAAGAGTACTCGTTTACATTGATAAGTACACATCTACCGTTGGATATGTCAAGCAAACGTATTTGTCAACCAATAACACAAAGCTGATATCATTTATTGACCAGTAGCTTAAAAAATGCAAACCACGAGATTGTTCAAAATAATAGAATATATAAGGAGAAAACAAACCACACCGCACGAGCACACTTTACGAAAGCAAGGGACAGTAGAAATAGACTGACAATTAATAAAGATCTGACATTTATAAATAAAACCTTTGTCATCTGATTTAAGAAACGCAGTGGTATTTTTTGAGTATATTTTATAGTATTGATCGTTAAATTACGAATCAAGACTACTGTATTTGCTTTCATTAAATTTATTTCAGAAGTTTGTCATCTTTACTTTTCGAGTACAGATACAAAAGAAACAAAGGGCAATGGTATTTTCTCCTCTTTGAGTATATCTTTTAGTATTATTGTATCCAAAGATGCTAAAGTATTTTTGTAACTAATGAAGTTAGACTTTTTATTGTTAGGTGGAGCTATATAGAAACCTCTGTTCTTGTTTGTTTAGTATCTATCACCTAACAAGCCTCAAAAGACAGTTATCTAGAGATCAATTTTCGCAGTTTTTTCTGTGAGATCACAAAACAAATTTATGGCGCAGATAAAACATCGATGTGGCAGACCCGCATGATGTTTCCTTGTTGAATATGGGATGCAATGTGACAACTCTAATAAGTAGTATCACAATGTGTGCACCGGCTGCATATAGAAGGTGCTGAATACTATTATTACGTTGGCTGTGCAAAGCATTATGTTCTACAAAGTCTGCAGATTCTTAAGCTGCTGAACATAGCTAGAAAATTGCCCTCAGATAAACAGGCAGCAGATGAGCAGAATTTTAATTTTGAGGAAATGGTGAGAGTTATCATGACCCCGGCTCTGGATTTGAATGAGACCATAGAGGTGGACCCCAGTAGGGAAGCAGAAAGCAAGCGTACTGATGAAAGCATTGTTACAAGGAAAAGGAAAAAGCACGCTAAGAAACTAATTATAGACAGTACTAATGTATGTGAATCTATGGTTTCAGTTCCGGATTCACGCTATGGGGGAGCAAAGTGTACAGGATGTGGTCAATAGACAAAATAAGGCAAATGGTTGGCTTACAGTCACACCCAGAAAAAGAAATGTAAGAGAACAGTGTGACCTTATGTGTTAGACGCCATTTGGAATCGGAGTTCAATTAGAAAATTCAGGAATTAGATTATTATAGCGTGATAAGACGGACCTCGCTAAAAAAAAGAAACAAAGGCACGATTTGAGCACGATCCCAGTTTCATATAAGCAAGCTACCCCCAAAAAAGTCTCAGGAGTTAGCAGCTGTGAGTTTTATAGAATAGAACAAAATGTGGATTATGAAAGTACTTAGAAAAGCAGCCTCCTAAAGGTTACCTTTGCTTCGGCTGAAGAAAGAAACCTAGTACTGAGAAACTCATTCAAACTGACCGGATACGAAATATACGTCGGTGAAGATCTCAGCCTGGTTGACTGTATTAGACGATCAGCAGAAGTACAGATGAAAGCCACCGAAACTGAAAATCTCATACTCAAGGATTTTCAGATTGTAAAAGTTCGGAGCTAAACGATCACCAAACTACTGTGGGTGGTAAGGGAATGTTGTCCACAGAATTGAATGTGTGCTATATAAATGCTTGCAGCCTACTAAATAAAATGGCGTAGCCCAATACAATGGCAGATACAGAAAAATCATGTCATCTTTGTTTCAGAAACACGGTCAACATAAGTGTTTGATAATGAAATCCAGTTGACTGTTTTTTCCAGGAGGGGAAATGAGGTTATCTTGTACACGAAAAGTACCTTGACCATACGAGCTGTTGAGATAGTGGTACATGATTCAGGGACATGTGAACTGGTGTTGCAGGTCGAAATGTAGACAACAAGATATTGAATTAGATGTGTTATACTGCAGCCCAGTATGTGTAGATGATTTTTTCCTAAGCAAACTCAAGTCCTAATGAAATAGGAGTGAAAACCTTATAGTAGGCGACTTTAACGCACAGTATAAAAACTGGGTAAACTTGGAAGTATGGTCATCGACGTCATTTGTTTGCAAACTTTTAGAAACCTCAATCGCACTAGCTTTATTACAGCACATTGAAGACTCAATCAGATACGTCTACATGCACTTTGGGGCTACAAAAGCACAGCATAGAAGTGCCTGTACCCGTAGTCCGGTCTCACAAGGATCTTGAGGTGACAGTGAGTCATGATCTTAAAACCACGACCCATTGCCGGGAGGTCGCAGCTAAAGAGTTCGGAAGCCTATGGTCTTTGAGACGGACTCTCACCAAGTCAGATACAACCATGTTAACTACAGTACACACAACGTTAGTGAGAATTAAGCTTGAGAAATGTGTTCAGGCTGCAAACCTGTGTTTGAACGGTGACTCCGATATCCTGGAAGAAGTACTGAGGGCAGCTACCCGTGCAATTTCGGAAATCTACCATACAAAGAGTGGCTTGAAAAGCTAGACCTTTGTACTCTGTTCTGATTTCTATATAGAGATATGTCCTCTTTTTCTTTCCACTAGATCGAGGCATCTCAGAGGACATAGCAGGCAAGTAGAAAAACCAAGAAGGAACAAAATACCCGTAATACACAGGTTTTCACACCGAGTCATCAGTATTGGAACATAACACTCAGAGCAGTGGTGTCCGCACCTTCAATGAACTCATTCAAGAAAAGACTAGACAAACAGAAGCATACTAGGAAAGTTATAACATGGGCCTTCTGTCTTTGCTACACAAATCGGAATTTGATATTTGACAAACTCAACCTTAAACCGAAATGGAACACTGTCCAGGTTCCAGACATTCTAAAGACAAGTTGAAAATTTTGTCAACCTTTACGTTCAGATAGAGGAATTATAAACATCTTCGATTCCTTTTACTCTTGAAACATGGGGCAGTGCGGTACCCAAATGTATTGAAATTTAATCAACTACTAGGTAGATAACGGTCAACGTCTAGGGAGGACGTCAAACAATGAGCCTACAGTTGCTTAAATAAAATGATGATAATACCAGCAGAACTTTAACAAATTAATATCGTCATTCAATTTGTTGCTTATCTGTAACTACTTTAGGTCCAGACTATTTAACTGTTAGCTGTTAAAAAACAACTGATTAACTGAATAGTATTTAGTGAATTATACAACACTATCTGATCAACTACCTGGGATTGATAACTAGAGATAAGGTACCACCAGGCTAGTAAACTTCATTCACAGGTAAGCATGATGAATAAACTAATTTATTGCTTACCTGAATGAAGTTAAACGTGCTATTGAGTGGTCGGATAACTTGATCCACCGGTTCGTCTGACGTTGTAACAGAAGAGTGCACACTGATTGTTGCGAATTCATTGTAGGGAACAGTAGTGACTTCAGCAGGACCTGATAAGCCGATAGATGAGTTGATTTCCGAATCTGTAACAACTTGTGTTGGTTCTGGTACAATCGTCGTGCTACTATCACTAATAAGACCCATTGATTGCTGGACAAGTGGGTTGGACAGTAGTCGGAAACACATATTGCGGACATCTTTGTAGGTTGTGTGCTTCTTCCGTAAGTCCTCTAAATCGTTTGACAGTGGAACAGGTACTGAATTCCCACTCACCAAATTGAAGGTGCTTGTAGCAACAGCCTTAAGATCATCCCGTGCTTGTAAAAAGTTGGGAACAGAGGACAGAGCTGAAGAACTAAGTCCAGGCCAATTATCCACTACCGGTGGTGTTAATATGTCTCGTACAGCGTCTAACAACTTAAGGCTGTTTTCTGACGAAGATTTTGTGACAGCTGAACGGACTGCCGGAATATCCAAGGAAGCAAAGAAACGTTCCAAGCACATGTGGATACTTAAATACGAAAGTGTATATTTCTCATGTTCAGCTTCCAGTAGGGACATTTGCTTATCAACGACTGACTCCATATTCGACAAGAGATCTTTCGTCTGTGCCACAATCTCTTGCACAAACGAAATGTTCTGAACCACACCATCATAGCTTTCGACGGCCTTCTTTTGTTCCTCTTTCAGGACCTCACCTTTCTGTAGTTTTTCGCGATAACCATCTAGCTTACTCTACTGAAAATGATGACACAAACCAGATTTACCTTTCTTTTTCCAAGATTTCTTTGTCTACGCTCAAGATTAGTCAAGAACTGTCTAACCAACTCACATGGAGTATCACACTCAAGCATGCCTTAAAAGCTGATCACAAATGGCACAAAACCCTCCGAAATACTAATTAAAACGACAAGCTACTGTAATATGTACAATATTACTTTGTTTGCACTTGTAGGTAGCTTTCACTAGCTAATCGGCTTCGTTTAGTCGATACCGTGCTATTGTTAGTAAAATTGTAGGTTGAAGTCTATACCCAAATGACAACGACGGAGAGTACAGGCAATATAAAAATATCAGGAACATATGCATGAAGGCTATAAGAGAAGATAGGCTTCAGTACCAGACAAAGCTTATGGACAAATTTTCCTCCAATCCTAAAAGCTTATTCCGCTATGCAGCCTCTCTTCGTCAAGCCAAAACTGGAGTTTCCCAGCTCGTAGGTCTTAACGGCCGGACCAACAACGATGGTGACGCCGCTAACCTTCTGGCTGAACATTACTCCCAGACATTTCAAACGACCGACATTAACTTTACTGATGACAGTTTCGTTTGCAATTCCACAGAACTTTCCGAAGTGGACCTAAGCGTTGACTTGGTGTTCCGGAAACTGCAGCACTTAAGATTAGACTCTTCTCCTGGCCCGGACATGGTCCATTCAGCCATACTGAGGGAAGCAGCCTCAATCTTGGCAACTCCGCTTAGCGTGATGTTCTCACACTCGCTAAGTAGAGGAAAACTACCGGAAAATTGGAGGCTGGCTCACATCACACCAATTTTCAAAGGAGGTCGACGCAGCGAACCTTCAAGTTACCGACCGGTGGCTCTTCTCTCCATACCCTCAAAAATCATTGAGTCCTTGATATGCGATGGTATAAATGACTATTTACTGTCCTTAAATTTCTTCTCACCCCAACAGCATGGTTTCAGGAAGGGTGACTCTTGTATTACCAACCTGCTGACTGCGGTGGACAGATGGACAAGCATCCTTAATCACAAGGGGAAGGTTGATATCATCTACCTAGATTTCTCAAAAGCTTTTGATAAGGTTAACCATACATGTCTTATCAATAAGCTCAAACGATTGCCCCCCCTATTCCTGAAAAATCAACATTTTAAGGTCAGGGTTAATTTCACTTTATCTCAGGCTATGGAGTGTCCTAGTGGGGTCCCCCAGGGCTCAGTACTAGGGCCTCTTCTCTTCTTAATCTACATAAATGATCTTCCTCAACAGGTGACGTCAGACTTATTACTTTTTGCCGACGACGTGAAACTTTGGAGAGAGATACGCAACCAAGACGATATACAGGCACTTCAGGAGGATCTGACTCGACTTCAAAGTTGGGCAGACGATAACGGACTTACCTTCAATACTTCAAAGTGTAAAGTAGTCCATCTGTGACATGTCGCAGACTACAGTTATAACTTAGGTACCTCCTCTCTAGTAGTATCCCAAGTCGAAAAAGTTTTAGGAGTCTTGGTGCCCTACGATTTAAAGTCTTACGCTAACTGTGACGAAAATGCCTTCCGAGCAAACCTTGCACTGGTAACGTTGAAGCGCATTTTCGGTCAGTTTGACGGAAGAACTTTCCATATAATCTTTAATAGCTTTATCCGCCCCCATTTAGAGTACGGAAACATAGTATTTCCCCCCTCATTCCAAAAGGATAAGGACACCCTGGAGCGTATCCAACGGCGAAGGGTGATCTTATCCGCAACGCAACCATGTAAGCTTAATGTATCGCACACTGTCATTTGTGCGTTCAAGTAACCACAGATTTTGTCATTTCATAATGTATTTAAAATAAATAACTAGATTATGTAGGTAATTTTGCTCTGTTTTTAATTTTTATTCGCCACTTCCGACTGCGTTGCACTGTATGTCCATTGCACGCAAGTCATAGTGAGTTTATTCACATAGTTGATTGTTTCCAGATAGACTGTCAGTGCATGATTTTACTGAAGAAAGGTTTGTTGTACTGTAAACTATGTTTCTATGAACAACTGCCTGTTGTCTTCAGTATGAAAGCAGTATATATGTATCCTTCTTTTTTTCTTAGGTAAGTTCAACTGGCCTATATTTCGTGTTTTGGTTTTATCGGCTTAATTATGTCCATTTGTAACAGCTTAGGTTGGTTGGTTAAGAGTTGACCCCAAACAACCAAGCATATGCCAAAACAGTATTGTTCAAGTGTTCACTCACTTCCTTGTTTTGTATAAGCGTTATATTCCCTATTATCTTATATTGAATGTTGAGAGCCTTTGTTTGTCTGAACAGGTAATCGCACGCTCCACTGTTACCGCGCGAAGATCGAAATAAAGACCTATTCACTACTTCTCTGGTTTCTTCTATCAATAGCACGAGGGTTACTTTAAGGCACGAAATTGGTGAGCCCTTTTTGAACACAAATTTAACCTCATTTCTGTTATTAACATTTTTTTTTACTTAATCGTAAAAGTAAACCTGATTATCCGTAAACTAATTTGAGTATATAACTAGTTTATTCCGTATTATTTTAAGTTATTCGTGTTATAGTAACCACTTTTTGTGCTAACTTTATTGTTATATTTGTCACATACATCATGTCAGACTCAATAGAAACCCATAATCTGGAGGATTTGTCACCAGTGGAGATTGACACTGTTATGACTACGAAATCCCGACTTCCAGAATTTGATCGTAGGGATCCTGAGTTGTGGTTTGCTCAACTAGAGCATTATTTCACGAGACACAATATCAAATCTGAAGGGATTCGCTATAGAGACTTGTGTTCTATCCTTCCTCCTTCAGTCGCCAAAGAAGTCCGTGACTTGATTTTGAGTCCACCATCACCACAACCATACACCATCTTAAGACGAGAGATAATGAACCGTTTATCATTATCAGATAGTCAAAGAATCCAAAGACTTTTTCAAGGTGAAACACTAGGTGATCGGTCGCCGTCACAGTTTTTACGTCACCTCCAAGTCTTAGTGGGTGATAACACAGTGGGTGAAGCAGTCCTAAAACAAGGATGGATACAAGCTCTCCCATGCTACGTCCAACACTGTTTGGATGCACAAGATCCTGAAACCTCATTATCTCATTTAGCGCGTATAGCCGACAGAATAATGGAAAGAGGTCCTCCAACTGGATCAGGCATAATAAATCACACACAAAAAGTAGAATCAGCAAAAGACCCCGTAATAGAAGGACTCATTGCGAGTGTTAAGAGTCTCACTGAGGCTGTCACCAGAATGCAAATGGGTCATAGAAACTGGAGCAGGTCACCACAACGACCACGATCCAAGTCACAAAACAGGTCACAAATGTCCAGACAATCTGGGCAGTTTTGTTGGTACCACTGGAAGTTTGGTGTCAACTCAACCAAGTGCATGCAACCATGCGCCTGGCCTAAGCATAATTCTAAGTCAGCGGGAAACGAGTAACCCCTCCCCAGGTCGCGACGACTGAGGAGGGGCGCGTAAACAGTCGCTTGTTTTATGTTAGAGACAGAAACTCGGGCTTGAATTTCTTGGTGGATACTGGCGCTGCTCTTAGCATCATCCCTCAAAATAAAACTGAGATTAGTCGAGAAACATCATCAATTACACTTCAAGCTGCAAATAAAACTAAAATTGCGACATTTGGGCAGAAAACTTTAACCCTAGATTTGGGGTTCAGGAGGCAATTCCCTTGGGTTTTCACGGTAGCCGACTTAGATCTGGCAATACTGGGGATGGACTTTCTAGAGAGATACGAATTTCTAGTTGACACCAAGAAACGGCGATTAACACTAAAAGAAACTTCGTATTACACAAAAGGCAAAGAAAGTCACATCAGCTCTCTTAACTTGATTCAAACTCCTCCAGTAACAACAGCGAAATTCCAAGATATACTCGCGGAATTTCCAAAGTTAGCTAAACCAAACCCACAGCCTTCCAAAGACAAACTAAAAGTGAGTCACACTATCAAAACCGAAGGTGCACCGGTGTTTGCAAAACCCAGGAGACTAGCACCAGATAAGCTCAAAATCGCTAGGGCCGAGTTTGATTATATGCTACAATTGGGTATTATCCGTCCCTCTGATAGTCAATGGGCATCCCCTTTGCATATGGTCCCAAAGAAGAATGAAGGTGACTGGCGACCGTGCGGGGATTACAGAGCCCTAAACCGTCAAACCGTACCAGATAGGTACCCAATACCTCATATCCAAGATTTCACCAACGGTTTACAGGGTATGAAAATATTCACTAAAATTGATTTAGTCAGGGCATATCACAATATCCCAGTGGCTGATGAAGATATTCCCAAGACAGCTATTACTACACCCTTTGGCTTATTCGAGTTTGTACGCATGCCATTCGGCCTGAGAAATGCGGCACAGACATTTCAAAGATTCATAGATAACCTACTTCGAGATATGCCATTTGCGCAGGGGTATATAGACGACTTGTTAATTGCCAGCCCCGATTTGCAATCACACGAACAGCATGTACAAGCAGTGTTGAAAAGACTGGATGAACATGGAATAAACATACATCAAAGTAAGTGTGTTTTCGGTGTTCAAACTTTAGAATTTCTCGGTCACACAATAAGCCCAGAAGGGATTAAACCTATCAAAAAAGAAGTGGATACTATCAAACAATACCCCGTACCTAGTTCTCTAACACAACTGAGAAGTTTTCTAGGCCTAATTAACTTTTATCGCAGATTCATACCAGGTTGTGCACAATTAATGCAACCTTTGACAGATTCACTTAAAGGAAAACCAAAAGAATTCAAACTGTCTTCTGACGCCATCGAAGCTAGTAAACAGCTTAAAGATAAACTGGCTCAAGCAACTACGTTGATATATCCGAATTCTCTTTCCCCACTTGCTTTGATGGTGGATGCTTCAGATAAAGCAATAGGCGGTACCCTTAACCAACTGGTTAAAAACGCCTGGAAACCAATTGCTTTCTTCTCGAAAAGACTCGCTCCAGCCGAAACAAGGTATTCTACCTTCGGGCGAGAACTTCTTGCAATCTACCTAACCATTAAACACTTCCGACACATGTTAGAAGGTAGGGAATTTATAGTCTTTACGGATCACAAGCCACTAACGAATGCACTAAAAGCGAGAGCTG